CCCCCCTTTCTCCTTCCCCTTCCCCCCCCACTATGTTTAAAACCCCCCCCTTTCTCCCCCTTATTCCCCATCTTTCACCCCCACCCCCCAACTATGATATAACCCATGTAATCTTTATTACCCCACCACTATGATATAACCCCCTGTCTCCTTTCTTTACCTCCATCCACTATGATATAACCCCATTGGTCTACTCTTTACCCCCCCACTATGATGTGTAAACCCATGTCTCTTCTACCCCCCCACCACTATGATGTAACCCCATGTCTCTTCTTACCCCCCCACTATGATGTAACACCAGGTTTCTCTTCTTACCCCCCCAAACATGATTATACCTCATTCTCCTTTTACCCACCCACTATGATTAAAACCCCTGCCTCCTTCTTACCCCCCCCCCCAACTATGATTACCCCATGTATCTCTTACCCCCCCCACTATGATGTAACCCCAGGTAGCCTTCTTACCCCACCCACTATGATAGAACCCCATGTCTCCTTCTTACCCCCCCATGGTCACGATCGTCCAGGGAGAGACCAATGGCGCAAGCGTGTTGAACAAACATACTTTAATTAGTTAAAGTTAAACAAGATACAAAACAAGAAACGACTCGTGAAGTCCACGGTGACAATGACCGAACACGGAACAAAAACCCACAAACACCAAGTGAAAAACAGACAGTTTAAATATGGCTCCCAATCAGAGACAACCAGCCAACAGCTGACACTCGTTGCCTCTGATTGGGAGTCACTCAGGCAAACATAGAAAACAACAAACTAGAACCCCCAACATAGAAATAACCACATAGAATGAACACACACTGGCTCAACAAATAGAGTCCCAGAGCCAGGGTGTGACAGTACCCCCCCCTAAAGGCGCGGACTGCGACCGCGCCTCAATACGAGCAAAACAGGGGAGGGCTGGGTGGGCATTCCTCCTCGGCGGCGGTTCTGGCTCCGGGCTTGCCCACCCCCCCCCAATAAACCACCCATAGCGCCCTTGGTCCGGTCTGGCCCCGCTGGCTGGAGCTGACCTGGACGTAGCAGGAGCGGCTAGCTTCAGCTCCGTTGGGGAGCAATAAAGCGGTACCTGATTTGGCACCGATGACCAAGGCACGGGTTGTGCCGGACTGACGACGCGCACCCCAGGCTTGGTGCGTGAGGCAGGAAAGGACCGGACCTGGCTGTCGATGCGCACCCCTGGCTTGGTGCGTGGAGCAGCAACGGGCCGGACCGGGCTGACGATACGCACCCCTGGCTTGGTGCGTGGAGCCGGAACGGGCCTCACCGGACTGATGACTCGCATCCCTGGCTTGGTGCGTGGAGCAGCAACGGGCCGGACCGGGCTGACGATGCGCACCCCTGACTTGGTGCGTGGAGCAGCAACGGGCCGGACCGGGCTGACGATGCGCACCCCTGGCTTGGTGCGTGGAGCAGCAACGGGCCGGACCGGGCAGACGATACGCACCCCTGGCTTGGTGCGTGGAGCCGGAACGGGCCTCACCGGACTGACGACTCGCACCCCTGGCTTGGTGCGTGGAGCAGCAACGGGCCGGACCGGGCTGACGATGCGCACCCCTGGCTTGGTGCGTGGAGCCGGAACGGGCCTCACCGGACTGACGACTCGCACCCCTGGCTTGGTGCGTGGAGCAGCAACGGGCCGGACCAGGCTGACGATGCGCACCCCTGGCTTGGTGCGTGGAGCCGGAACGGGCCTCACCGGACTGACGACTCGCACCCCTGGCTTGGTGCGTGGAGCAGCAACGGGCCGGACCGGGCTGACGATGCGCACCCCTGGCTTGGTGCGTGGAGCCGGAACGGGCCTCACCGGACTGACGACTCGCACCCCTGGCTTGGTGCGTGGAGCAGCAACGGGCCGGACCGGGCAGACGATACGCACCCCTGGCTTGGTGCGTGGAGCCGGAACGGGCCTCACCGGACTGACGACTCGCACCCCTGGCTTGGTGCGTGGAGCAGCAACGGGCCGGACCGGGCTGACGATGCGCACCCCTGGCTTGGTGCGTGGAGCCGGAACGGGCCGGGCCGGGCTGGCGACGCACACCGTAGGCTTGGTGCGAGGGGCAGGAACAGGCCGGGCCGGGCTGGCGACGCACACCGTAGGCTTGGTGCGAGGGGCAGGAACAGGCCGGGCCGGGCTGGCGACGCACACCGTAGGCTTGGTGCGAGGGGCAGGAACAGGCCGGGCTGGGCTGGCGACATGCACCGTACACTTAGTGCGGGAAGCAGGAACGGGCCGGACCGGACTGGTGACGCACACCACTTGCTTGGTGTGAGGAGCGGGACTGGGTTTCATCATAACCCTCCGCTCCCTCAGCTGCCTACCGAGTTCCTCTCGCCGTGCCTCATTTCTCACCCTTTCCCTAATCGCCTCCAATAGCTCCATCCTCTGCAACACTAACTCCTGCTCCCTCTGCGCCAGTAGCCCCCTTAACCTGGTGGCCTCCTCACCTAATCGCCCTGTGGCAGCCTCCTGCTGCCCAGTCGCCCCTGCCGTGTGCCCCCCCCTAAAAAAAATTTGGGGTTGCCTCTCGACCGTCCGACGCTGCTCCCACGTCCAGGCTGCCTGTTCCTGGACACGCTGCTTGGTCCTGGTATGGTGGGTTTTTCTGTCACGATCATCAGGGAGAGACCAATGCGCAGCGTGTTGAACAAACATACTTTAATTAGTTAAAGTTAAACAAGATACAAAACAAGAAACGACTCGTGAAGTCCACGGTGACAATGACCGAACACGGAACAAAAACCCACAAACACCAAGTGAAAAACAGACAGTTTAAATATGGCTCCCAATCAGAGACAACCAGCCAACAGCTGACACTCGTTGCCTCTGATTGGGAGTCACTCAGGCAAACATAGAAAACAACAAACTAGAACCCCCAACATAGAAATAACCACATAGAATGAACACACCCTGGCTCAACAAATAGAGTCCCAGAGCCAGGGTGTGACACCCCACTATAATGTAACCCCATGTCTCCTTCTTACCCCCCCCCCACTATGATATAACCTATGTCTCCTTCTTACCCCCCCCCCCCCACTATGATATAACCCCATGTCTCCTTCTTACCCCCCCACTATGATGTAGCCCCATGTCTCCTTCTTACCCCCCCCACTATGATGTAACCCCATGTCTCCTTCTTACCCCCCCACTATGATATAACCCCATGTCTCCTTCTTACCCCCCCCACTATGATATAACCCCATGTCTCCTTCTTACCCCCCCACTATGATATAACCCCATGTCTCCTTCTTACCCCCCCTCTATGATATAACCCCATGTCTCCTTCTTACCCCCCCCCCACTATGATGTAACCCCATGTCTCCTTCTCTCCATCCCTCCCCACTGTCAAACAGAAGCAAGATGTTCTCAACCAAGTAAGCCACAGCCCCTAGTGGGGGTCTGCATGATCTTTTGTTTCTGTATCTAACACTACAGACTGCATGTAACATACTTAACCCTGTATCATCAGAGACACCAACCCAACCTGCTGACACCACCAGTCAGAGGGCACGGGTCAAAGATTAGGGGTCAGGGGTCAGTTCCAGTTGTACTACGGTACCAATAATGCTCTATCACCCAGTCCGAGGTCAAAGGTCAGGGGTCAGGTCCAGTGCTTCTGTATGTCTGCTATGTTTCTTTGTGATGCTCAACTTACCAACATGTAACAACAGTGTGTCCATAACACAGGAATGTTGTGTCTAGGTTTTTTTTTCTACGGCAAGGCTAATGGCACCGATCACTGTGTGAATGCCAGTTCAGACAACCTCATGCTGTTTCTGTAAAGGTATCTTCCCTGAGGAATCTCTGTGAGGCATTTTACTATGTCTGCCTGCTGATGAAGTGACTCAGGATTGTTTCTGTGTACTGTCTGTATGCCTTTTACGTTTGAACGTTTCATTCACATTAACATTTTAAAGGTTGGCTAAAATGTCAGCCTACCATCCAACTGATTTATGTTTTCTCCAAATGGGTGATTTCCTGACTCTTCTCAGCCGTATGGTTTTATTCAGAGTCCCAAAAGCGATAAGTGTTATCATCATGCGCTGTGCTGTAGAGAGGTGACATACTCATCTAAAATGCAATACTGCAGATCATCAATAAAACTCTCAGCATTACAATACAGGAAAACTACTTTTCTAAAGGTTTCATTCCTCTTATATACTGAAACTGAGTTTCAGCATTATGCTTCCCACTGGGCACACACTGGTTGAAACAACATTGTTTCCAGGTCATTTCAATGAAATTACGTTGAACCAATATGGAATAGACGTTGAATTGACATCTGTGCCCAGTAGGCTCTTTTATTTCTACTAAAGAAGTATGTGGTTCACAACACTTCGCACAGGTATTGCCGTCCCACATAAATCCAGTGAACAAATTAGTAATGTGATAGTATCTTTTATCCCATGGTGGTGTCCCTTCTTTCTGCTCGCCAGACCCTCTCTTGTTTACTCTATTAACACAAAAGGTACCTGACTTCTCTTGTCTTTCTCTCTCTCTCTATCTCTCCATCCCTCCATCCATCCGTGTGTCTGCAGCCCATAGATTACGAGGGTTTCCAGCTCTTCATGGCCACCTACCTGGAGAACGACATCCCTGAGGAGCTGTGTCAGCACCTGTTCACCTCCTTCAAGAGCAAGACAGGGGGCTGCTCTCCTGAGGTGCCCCGAGCAGGAGTAGGACTGCTGGGTAAGTAGTGTCCTACCTCACCCTGGTGGTCACTCATTCCGGCTAGGACTGTTTTAAAATGTTTCTCAATGTTTTCTCCCTACTGAACATGACCAGGGTAGATATCAACATAGTCTTTCCTGGCTCTCAGAAGTAGTTGCATTTGAACTGGGGTTGATTGAGTATCTGGTTCTTGTTGAATTAATGGATGGAGTTAGGCTAAATTGTTGGTACAGATGTAGCACCTTAATTTGATCACTCTTTTGTTGCTGAGAATTTTCCTGCACTACAGGAAATGCAGATGAGCTTCGTGATTTACATAAATTCATTGAAAATCCACACTAACTAACACACAGTTGGAGGATTTGCTGTGACAATATAGGTCAAATTAACATCCAACATTTGTAAAATACTGTATGTATTGGCCAAATTAGATTCCCTCTCAGGTTAACCCTGGTCTCAGAGAGCGTTTCCTTCTGCTACAGATTTGCCACTGAACAAAAAATCTCAAACACTTTCCAAACACACAATGCAAACACTGCCCGATGGTGCTGGAGTTGTCACAGACACGGACATCTTTAGGGTGGTTTACTTCCACTGTTCCTCACTACTGAGCAGCTGAACACTGGTGGACAGATTAGAGGATTCTAACCCCTCTCCAAATGGAGGGATGGGATGGAGAGATTTGCGTCCAAGCCCACCCAACCATCTGAAAGGGAGGGAGAGAGGGAGAGCGGGAGAGAGGGAGGGATTGGCGTGTTATTCCTCCTGTGGCTCCTCCATTGGGATCAGATGTGGAGAAGAAGAAGAAAAAGCAATGCAGCCTACACTGCCATCTGGTGGTTCTCGACTAACCTCTTTGAGGATGTCCTCTCTCTCTCTCTCTCTCGTCACATCATGGTTTTATTGTTCAGGACAAGAGAGGCTTGTGCTGCCTTGCCTGAATCAATCTCCTAGTCCCCAACCAAAAGAGACAGTTTTGTTGTGTGTCTCTAGTCATTGAAACACTAGCCTGCTCCTTTAGACTCCCTCTTTGCTATCTTATATTGCTTTATAAAATCTCTTCTCTTTAAAATGTCACCAGATTCATTGTGTTTTTACAGACAGGCATATAAGCTAACTAGATTTTTACGACATTTTATTATAGAGTTTCATTGAATTGGAAATGTACTGAATTTTGCCTTGGCTATGAATAGAATCCACCCTCACATTGCCAGACAATTCTAAATATACAGTGGGGAGAACAGGTATTTGATACACTGCCGATTTTGCAGGTTTTCCTACTTACAAAGCATGTAGAGGTCTGTAATTTTTATCATAGGTACACTTCAACTGTGAGAGATGGAACCTAAAAAAAATCCAGAAAATCACATTGTATGATTTTTAAGTAATTAATTTGCATTTTATTGCATGACATAAGTATTTGATACATCAGAAAAGCAGAACTTAATATTTGGTACAGAAACCTTTGTTTGCTATTATAGAGATCATGCGTTTCCTGTAGGTCTTGACGAGGTCTGCACACACTGCAGCAGGGATTTTGGCCCACTCCTCCATACAGACCTTCTCCAGATCCTTCAGGTTTCGGAGCTGTCGCTGGGCAATACGGACTTTCAGCTCCCTCCAAAGATTTTCTATTGGGTTCAGGTCTGGAGACTGGCTAGGCCACTCCAGGACCTTGAGATACTTCTTACGGAGCCACTCCTTAGTTGCCCTAGCTGTGTGTTTCGTGTCGTTGTCATGCTGGAAGACCCATTCACGACCCATCTTCAATGCTCTTACTGAGGGAAGGAGGTTGTTGGCCAAGATCTCGCAATACATGGCCCCATCCATCCTCCCCTCAATACGGTGCAGTCGTCCTGTCCCCTTTGCAGAAAAGCATCCCTAAAGAAAAATGTTTCCACCTCCATGCTTCACGGTTGGGATGGTGTTCTTGCGGTTGTACTCATCCTTCTTCTTCCTCCAAACACGACGAGTGGAGTTTAGACCAAAAAGCTATATTTTTGTCTCATCAGACCACATGACCTTCTCCCATTCCTCCTCTGGATCATCCAGATGGTCATTGGGAAACTTCAGACGGGCCTGGACATGCGCTGGCTTGAGCAGGGGGACCTTGCGTGCGCTGCAGGATTTTAATCCATGACGGCGTAATGTGTTACTAATGGTTTTCTTTGAGACTGTGGTCCCAGCTCTCTTCAGGTCATTGACCAGGTCCTGCCGTGTAGTTCTGGGCTGATCCCTCACCTTCCTCATGATCATTGATGCCCCACGAGGTGAGATCTTGCATGGAGCCCTAGACCGAGGGTGATTGACCGTCATCTTGAACTTCTTCCATTTTCTAATAATTGCGCAAACAGTTGTTTCCTTCTCACCAAGCTGCTTGCCTATTGTCCTGTAGCCCATCCCAGCCTTGTGCAGGTCTACAATTTTATCTCTGATGTCCTTACACAGCTCTCTGATCTTGGCCATTGTGGAGAGGTTGGAGTCTGTTTGATTGAGTGTGTGGACAGGTGTCTTTTATACAGGTAACGAGTTCAAACAGGTGCAGTTAATACAGGTAATGAGTGGAGAACAGGAGGGCTTCTTAAAGAAAAACGAACAGGTCTGTGAGAGCCGGAATTCTTACTGGTTGGTAGGTGATCACATACTTATGTCATGCAATAAAATGCAAATTAATTACTTAAAAATCATACAATGTGATTTTCTGGATTTTTGTTTTAGATTCCGTCTCTCACAGTTGAAGTGTACCTATGATAAAAAATTACAGACCTCTACATGCTTTGTAAGAGGAAAACCTGCAAAATCGGCAGTGTATCAAATACTTGTTCTCCCCACTGTATCTCCTTCTCCTTCCCCTTTAACACAGTCTATATCACACTCCTTCTAGTGCAATTCTCTCACCTCCTCTCTTTCACATGCTCTCACTTTCTCTGTCTTGCTTTTCTTTCTCTGCTGTGTCTGCAGAGCCGCGATCCATTGATGCAGGTATCTCTATACAGACTGAAGTGGCCTGTGCCCCCATAACAGGTACCACTACCACTGCAGGACAACAGGACAATGTTTAGATATCCCTACTAAGACTCACGGGCCAGCTACTGTAACCATCTCCCTCACCAGTGTTTGGTTGTGACTTGTGATCAGTGTTTTGGCGCAGGTGACATGTGGTAGTAGTACTGTGTACCGTGGCTCTGTGGAATTGCGTTTATTGTAAACTGTTGTTTTGTATGTGGAATATACAGTGCATTCAGAAAGTATTCAGACCCCTTGACTTTTTCCACATTGTCTTACGTTACAGCGTTATTCTAAAAATGATTACATTAATTTTTTTCCTCATCAATCTACACACAACACCCCATAATGACAAATGTATTTTAAATAAAAAACAGAAATACTTTAGTTACATAAATATTCAGACCCTTTGCTGTGAGACTCGTAATTGAGCTCAGGTGCATCCTGTTTCCATTGATCATTCTTTCTACAACTTAATTGGAGTCCACCTGTGGTAAATTAAATTGATTGGACATTATTTGGAAAGGCACACACCTGTCTATATAAGGTCCCACAGTTGACAGTGCAGTCAGAGCAAAAACCAAGCCATGAGGTCAAAGGAATTGTCTGTAGAGCTCAGAGACAGGATTGTGTCGAGGCACAGATCTGGGGAAGGGTACCAAAACATTTCTGCAGCATTGAAGGTCCCCAAGAACACAGTGGCCTCCATCATACTTAAATGGAAGAAGTTTGGAACCACCAAGACTCTTCCTAGAGCTGGCCACCCGGCCAAACTGAGCAATCGGGGGAGAAGGGCCTTGGTCAGAGAGGTGACCAAGAAACCGATGGTCACTCTGACAGAGCTCCAGAGTTCCTCTGTGGAGATCGGACAACCTTCCAGAAGGACAACCATCTCTGCAGCACTCCACCAATCAGGCCTTTATGGTAGAGTGGCCAGATGGTAGCCACTCCTCAGTAAAAGGCACATGACAGCCCACTTGGAGTTTTCCAAAAGGCACCTTAAGGACTCTCAGACCATGAGAAACAAGATTATCTGGTCTGATGAAACCAAGATTGAACTCTTTGGCCTGAATGCCAAGCGTCACGTCTGAAGGAAACCTGGTCCCATCCCTACGGTGAAGCATGGTGGTGGCAGCATCATGCTGTGGGGATATTATTCAGTGGCAGGGACTGGGAGACTAGTCAGGATTGAGGGAAAGATGAACGGAGCAAAGTACAGAGAGACCCTTGATGAAAACCTGCTCCACAGTGCTCAGGACCTCAGACTGAGGTGAAGGTTCACCTTCCAACAGGACAACGACCCTAAGCACACAGCCAAGACAACGCAAGAGTTGCTTCGGGACAAGTCTCTGAATGTCCTTGAGTGGCCCAGCCAGAGCCCGGACTTGAACCCGATCAAACATCTCTGGAGAGGACTGAAAATGGCTGTGCAGCAACACTCCCCATCCAACCTGACAGAGCTTGAGAGGATCTGCAGAGAAGAATGGTAGAAACTCCCCAAATACAGGTGTGCCAAGCTTGTAGCGTCATACCCAAGAAGACTTGAGGCTGTAATCGCTGCCAATGGTGCTTCAACAAAGTACAGAGTAAAGGGTCTGAATACTTACGTAAAAATAATATGTCCACATTTTATTTTTTATACATTTGCAGAAATTTTATAAAAACCTGTTTTTACTTTGTCATAAAAACCTGTTTTTGCTTTGTCATGATGGGGTGTTGTGTGTAGATTGATGAGAAAAAAATTATATTTAATCCATTTTAGAATAAGGCTGTAACGTAACAATGTGGAAAAAGTCAAGGGATCTAAATACTTTCCGAATGCACTGTATCTCACTTGTTTTGTCTATTATTGTTGTGAAAAAGAGAAAGACAATTCAGTTGTTGGTTTTTGTGAAATACTGAGTTTTCTCTTTGTCAGTTTGATTCTCTGTTCATGGCCCTTGATTGGAAAGTGAGTCAGCTTTATTTTCTGTTCATCCTCAATGCTGAATGTCTGCTTTCATAAACACAACTGTTTGGAAAGTAACCATTTCACTGCCTACCTATTCTGTCTTTCCTGAAATCCTATTTTCTCCCTCCTCTCTGTCTTCTAGGAATGAATGGGAAGAGCATCCTGACAGCCATGGGTCGACCCATGCCGGAGCCTTCCACTGTGATGGCCTCATGTTCAGGTGTCGTATCCACCTCTCCCTGCTCCTCTCGTTCCTCCTCAAAGCGCTCTGGGACATGGGCCAATACGCCCGGGGTGCCCTACCGCACACCTGCCTGCACCCAGGCCAAACCCTCCACAGGCAGCAGTAGTAACGCCCTGACCCCCACCCCAGCCAAGTCCCCAGCCTCCCCTCGCCTCTCCCCAGGTAAACACCTTGTTCAGGTGCTGTAGCAAATTATGCTGTTTTACTGGAAAAGTTGTAACGCATGCTGTATTAGGCTGCCGTATTAGACTGCCGTATTAGACTGCCGTATTAGGCTGCCTTATTAGACTGCCGTATTAGACTGCCGTATTAGACTGCCGTATTAGGCTGCCGTATTAGACTGCCGTATTAGACTGCCTTATTAGACTGCCGTATTAGGCTGCCAGATTAGACTGCCGTATTAGGCTGCCAGATTAGACTGCCTTATTAGACTGCCGTATTAGGCTGCTGTATTAGACTGCCGTATTAGACTGCTGTATTAGGCTGCCATGTTAGACTGTTGTATTAGACTGCCGTATTAGACTGCCGTATTAGTCTGCCTGATTAGACTGCCTTATTAGACTGCCTTATTAGGCTGCCGTATTAGGCTGCCGTATTAGACTGCCGTATTAGACTGCCGTATTAGACTACCGTATTAGACTGCCGTATTAGACTGCCATATTAGACTGCTGTATTACTGTTGTATTAGACTGCCGTATTAGACTGCCGTATTAGACTGCCGTATTAGACTGCTGTATTACTGTTGTATTAGACTGCCATATTAGACTGCCGTATTAGACTGTTGTATTAGACTGCCGTATTAGACTGCTGCATTAGACTGCCGTATTAGACTGCCGTATTAGACTGCTGTATTAGACTGCCGTATTAGACTGCTGCATTAGACTGCCGTATTAGACTGCCGTATTAGACTGCCGTATTAGACTGCCATATTAGACTGCCGTATTAGACTGCCGTATTAGACTGCTGTATTAGACTGCCGTATTAGACTGCTGTATTAGACTGCCGTATTAGACTGCTGTATTAGACTATGAATTCCAGTGATATCAATGTTACTGCACTGTCATGCCTGGGACATTACTAATGCCACAACAAATAACTCCCTCTACAAATTCTACTGATTTTCACTCATAGCAAGGCATTTTAGCAGTTTGATAAAGTGTGGCTATAATGCCTGAGCTGTGGCCATTGGTGTCTGTTAGTTCAATACTTTGTAAAGAAGGCGAATGTAGGGCATGTGTACTGATAGCTACCTCAGCTATACCAACTTTACACAGGGATGAGATTAATTAGATTTGTTTTACATGTGGCTATCACATCATATCACCATATCAATATCACCATATCAATATCACCTTCTCAATATCACCATATGAATATCACCATATCAATATCACCATATCAATATCACCATATTAGTATAACATATTAATATCAACATATCAATATCACCATATCAATATCACCATATCACCATATCCATATCACATCACAATTTGCCATGTTGCTTAGTAATGCTTGTGGTCATTACTGTATGACATCACCATCTCTCATGGATACCCCTTGTTCCATTCCTCTCCCACAGAGAGAATCATAGTGGAGAAGAGGTGGAGCCCGTCCCCCTTACCTTCCCCCCAGGTGGTGTTTCTGAAGGACATCGTGTGTTACCTGTCCCTACTGGAGAGGGGCACACCAGAGGACAAGCTGGAGTGTGAGTTACAGCGTCTAATTACTAGTGTGTAAACAACCAAGGTATTTGAGAGAGGTCGGTCATGTAGAGGAGTCCAAAGGTGTCACCTAAACTTCTCAGAAAGATCCTCCCACAATCTGAGTGGATAAGTCAATTCATTCATTCAGGTAGGAAGTAATTTTTCCAGCTCTATTTCAGACACCAAATACATGCGGGCTGTCACACATACACACACACACACACACCTGCCAGTAGTAGCCTCAGCACTCAGCAGTACAGTGTGTGTGAGAGAGTGAGAAACAGGTTGTCAGCAGTGAGTCAGGAGTCAGGCTCCCCTTGGGATTAGCTCAGCCTCAGCACCTGTCCGCGTTAGCCCATGGACATCCTAAGCCCTGGTGTGTCCAATAGACTTCTTTAGCGTTGGGAGATATATCCGCACACTCTGACACAGCTAATCACTGCTAACTGCTTCCAACATCCCAACAACACAGGAGTACGTGTCACGCTCTATTACATCCCCTGCTCCAACACAGGAGTGGTGTTGTGTCACACTCTAATACTTCCCCTGCTTTCCAGAGTGAGGATCTGACTAGGAATGCAAGTGGTGCTGACAGACAGGGGTTCATTACAGCTGAATCATGGGGTCCCTTTTCTCTTGTTCCCTCCAGTCATGTTCCGGCTGTACGACACAGATGGCAACGGAGTACTGGACAGCTCGGTGAGTGGCCCTCTCTTCTCTTCTCTTCTCTTCTCTTCTCTTCTCTTCTCTTCTCTTCTCTTCTCTTCTCTTCTCTTCTCTTCTCTTCTCTTCTCTTCTCTTCTCTTCTCTTCTCTTCTCTTCTCTTCTCTTCTCTTCTCTTCTCTTCTCTTCTCTTTCTCTTCTCTTCTCTTCTCTTCTCTTCTCTTCTCTCCTTTCTTCTGTTCTGGTCTATCCTTTCCTCATCTCCTCTCCTCCCCTCTCCTCTCCTGTCCTGCCCTCGCAGCTCCTCTCCTCTCCTCTCTTCTTATGCAGTGCTAAGTTCAGTGCAATTAGAACAACCCTGTTACAGTACTTATTTCCTCTGAACTCCAGTTGCTTCATTCTTAGATCCATGCAACAGTATACAGAGTCGATGTGCAGAGGTATGAGGTAATTGAAGTCGATATGTACATATAACTAGGAATAAAGTGACAGATAGTAAACAGTAGCAGCAAGCGTATGTGAATCCAGGTGAAAGCTATGATCCCTTACTGATGTCACTTGTTAAATCCACTTCAGTCAGTGTAGATGAAGAGGAGGAGACAGGTTAAAGAAGGATTTTTAAGCCTTGAGACAATTGAGACGGATTGTGTATGTGTACCATTCAGAGGGTGAATGGGCAAGACAAAATATTTCAGTGCCTTTGAACAGGGTATGGTAGTAGGTGCCAGGTGCACCGGTTTGTGTCAAGAACTGCAATGCTGCTGGGTTTTTCACATTCAACAGTTTCCCGTGTGTATCAAGAATTGTCCACCACCCAAAGGACATCTAGCCAACTTGACACTACTGTGGGACACTTTCAGCTCCTTGTAGAGTCCATGCCCCGATGAATTGAGGCTGTTTTGAGGGCAAAAGGAGGTGCAACTCAATATTAGCAAGGTGTTCCTAATGTTTTGTACACTCAGTGTATTTAGTCAACGAGGGCAGGGTAGTTAATCATTCTGGTCTACGCTGAGCTGAACTGCCTCCTGGTGTCCAGGAATAGAAATCATGAATCAACAGTCAGAGGATACTGTCATCATAGGATGATGTGAATGTGGATGATATCAGAGGATACTGTCATCATAGGATGATGTGAATGTGGATGATATCAGAGGATACTGTTATCATAGGATGATGTGGATGATATCAGAGGATACTGTCATCATAGGATGATGTGGATGTGGATGATATCAGAGGATACTGTTATCATAGGATGATGTGGATGATATCAGAGGATACTGTCATCATAGGATGATGTGGATGTGGATGATATCAGAGGAAACTGTGTCGTAGAAATATTTGACTAATAGATAATCAACTTAAAAATATCTCTCAAGACACCGGAGCTTGTGAATTCAAGAATTAGACTTTATTGCATAACAAAGCCGAGCTAGCCCCATGGAACAACTGTCTCTCTCTGGCTTAGAGATCTCTTATATACATACACACAAATGAAAAAACATGCGTACATTCCTAACTTTTTTCAGTTCTGCACCACCCTTCTTTTTCAATGTCCAGCTGTCACACAATGTCCACTCCAAAATGTCATGAATGCTTTTTTTCTATATGAAGCCTCTCATTCTATCATTCTATTGGCTGCGTGGCTTAGGCCCCTTCTTAAAAAAAGAACTAATGTAATGCATACCATGTGTCTATAACAAACCCATGGGCCACAGTTTGAGAGCCCCTGTGAAAGAACACATGCATTCATTTAAAACACAGCATATACTCCATATCTATATTCCTTATTTAAGCATGTATCTGGATTATAAAATATCAAACATGTTCATTCTGTTTCACCATTATCATTTCATAACACATTATAAAACATATCCATTAATACTTAAACATGATTTAAACATGTCATCCATAACCCATTCTCAACCACATACATTTAAACATTTATCATTCATCATCCTCCTCGGCCCCTGAGATTATGTGCATGTGGCCATGTGTCAGGTCATAAGGTCATAAGCACAAAAAATGTTAACACTAGTTCCATTGTTACTCCAATCTCCACACACGTCATTGACATACCCAGCCCAGCTGCAGGGAGTTTATGAAAAACACATAAATGTCTCTGCTCTGTATTAACCCTTCAACTGGTTCTCAATCCATAAACATTTTAAGGCATATAGGTTTTTAATTCTACAACATATGTACTTGAAAATCATATATATATTTCCCCCCTCTGGGACTTTTAAGTCCCAACCAATAAAACAAAAGATAACATAAAATGAGTGTAAGCATGTGCATATACTTATTCTTAGCCTTGCCATCTGTGGTTACATTTTATAAGAATATATATTCAGACCAATGTATCTTCCTCATTGTCTGACCCATCCTGATGAGGACCCATAGCCCAGTCAGGTATTGATTACAAGTCTAGAAGGTTTTCCTCTAAATTAACCTCCACATTTTCCTGTCGGGCTTCGTAACCATGGCAGGCCCATCCACCCCCAGGAACAACTCCATACAAACATTCAGGATTCCCAAATTCCCAAAATGTCCCATATTTATTTACCTACTGTCATGGCGCTCCCTGAACTGGGTGTATCTCTTTATAAACAATGCTCCCCACTTTTGTTTGGTTATAGCCCTTCCCATATATGTGTTAGTATCCTATCACATCAACACATGCAACTTTGTCTTAACAATAATATCTAGGACATGTTTAAGAATGGTGTCAATATCTTTAGCTTACATAACCTTTTTCACCCATATCACAAGTATTATAACAATCAAAATAATCAATATCCATATCTAATCAAGTAATTGCCATGTCAACATCACTAAGCATTAATATTAATAAGTTATTCAGATCAGTCAGTCCACTTATAATTTATAATCATAATCAAATTAATTACCCAAAACAACTTTAGAATGACAATTCTTAATTAGTCACCTTTGTTCCATCATTCAAAGTTAAAACTCTCACCTTGGCACATATTAACACTGGCCGAATGTATATTTATATTATAATAATTCTAGCATTAACTTCCTCATAACGAGAATTACAACAGATCAGTACCCTAATGCATTGTCCAAATTACTATAAATTTAGTAGTGTATAATACCTCCTTAATCAACATACTACCTCAACTAACACTCCCTTCCTCTACCGGCACTCAATCTTCTGGCGTCTTCATTATGTTCTTCAGATAGCTTCATAGTTCATCTTGGATTACCCATAGCAATGTCCCAATTCCAATGTCACACCTGAACCGCCACACCTCCACCATCATCCTGTTTTGTCCATGTGCAAAACAGGATGCAAAACAGCTGTAGCTCAGCTGGTAGAGCACGGCGCTTGAAACGCCAAGGTAGTGGGTTCGATCCCCGGGACCACCCATACACAAAAATGTATGCACGCATGACTGTAAGTCGCTTTGGATAAAAGCGTCTGCTAAATGGCATATTATTATTATTATTATTATACCCAAACTAGGAAGAACGTTGTATTTGCATAGACCTCTTTCCTCACATTCTAGAAAGAAAAGGCACAAAAGAGAAGGCAATTGATTGCTTTGATTTGATGCTGGATTCAGGTCTCCTGGCAGAAGTAGTCAGACAGGAACGTCTTCAACGCCTTTGTTGTTCCTCTTCAGCCGAGTAGAGGATTTTTGGTTTTTATTGAGGTTTACACCGTTCTGGGCCAAATGATCTCTGCAATGCATTACGACACCATCCGTAGCAACCTCAGGAAAGGACAGATCATAACAGTTCAGTTGAGTTAATTTCCAATCCAAAACATCCCTATTAACATTGTCTACATGACAAATCATTATGTTTCACATTCTCCCTTGAATTCTCCCAAATTATATAACCCAATTGTTTTATTGTAACATTCCTACATTTTTGCTCATACTCTATTTGACCTTACTCTGGTGTTTCCCTTTCCTTGTTCCTATTCTAACAATTGCTTACACTTCTCTCCTCATCCTGGTTGATCATAAAATTGTTTATATTTAGGATTTCCTAAATATTACAAACATTCTGCTGGCCAATATGGTCTTTCCGAGTTCCTTATATGACAAAAGTTGTAGTTGAATCATAACACAGTCCTAGTAACTGTGAAGATTTTGAACTACTGTTAATTCTTTAAACGGAGATGTGGTGCATATTAGACTATTTTCTTTATTCAATTGTAATATAATATATTGTACTCATCTATATCAATCATTGTTTAATGGCTCCTTCAATTCCCTTTCTTCTGTATTTGGTATAGCTCTAACATATACAGGGTTTAATGCACTTTCCCAAGGAATAACTACTCCAATAACACTTCCCCCTGGAAATCTAACACCAAATACTACATCAAATTGTTTATCTAAGTCTTGGACTGTTCTCCTTATGTCTATGATTCACCTGTCTCTTTCTTTCATTATCTTAAGGTCACACTACCCCATGTGACTTCCCCATACTCTTTGTGCTGGTTTCTCACACACCAATAATATTTTAACCCTTGTATTTTAATAGTGATCCCTTCCTGTATTTTTAGTTATGGTTCCTGCCTGTGCAAGAATATACATTCTAATCCTGTCTATCTCCCTTCTATGTCTTGTTCTTCTGCTCTTTATTATTATCAGTACTCCATTCCCCTTATTCTCAGGTAACTAGTCAAGTGTAGAGAAATCAATGATAAGGATATCTGGTGCGTCTTGGAGGTCTGGAATCTCTCGGTGGTCTGGAATCTCTCGGTGGTCTGGAAGGTCCTTAAAGTCTCTTAATCATCAGTTCCCTCACTCTGGTACAATGGTTAAGATGATACCCGATACTCCCCTCTATCCGTACCATCGTTGGTATAACCTGGACAACGATGTGTATGGTCACTTCAGTTGTTAACCTTCCCCCGTCACTAGGGTCTCCGGATTAGCCAGAGTCCCTCTCAATCTATCGACATCGGTCTGTGAAAAGTGTCCTTCAATCAGCCTACCCATAGGGAAGCTCAGAGTTACTGCTGCAAAGACACAAGCACAGACACACACAAAAAACAACAATGCTACCCAATGGCTGAGGTTGGAACACTCCTATAGTGGGAAACATGAATCTAAGTATCTGTCTCCACCACTTTTACCATCATTAAGGTAGCCAACAACACCTGGTACAGGCCCCTCCACATAGGGTCTTTCCAGCTCTTTCTTCTGTAGTCTTTTGCCATCACATAGTCTCCAGGGCACAGAAAATACTCAGATTATCCTACTCAGTTGGGCATAGTTATCTTCACCCATGAAAAGAAAATCTTAAGAACATTGTTAGGTTAGGTGAGACACAGTATGCTACTCATGTCCTCTCATCCGTCAAGAGAAGCCTTGAGATTATGAAGCACACCTGCTTCCAGCTTGTTCTAGTTCACTTATCTCATAGACAGACCACCTCTACACCATGCCTCCTATCACAAAAACAAAAATGATTTAACCTAACCCATAACACATTATTACTACTGCTCATATCCTTAATACACCTTGCATATTTCCCCACAAAACCATAATAAAACATTAAAACCTCTGTAATCCCAACTTCCCCCCTTGGACACATGCATCACATCGTGATTCATGTGTACAAAAAACAAAACAAAACAATATTGCCTATCAAACCTAAAATAATAACTAACCTTAAAATGACACCCCTTGAGCATATCTTTACTTAACTGTATTCCATAACACTATTCAAGGAATACCTCTCCTTCAGGGCTAACCCTCTCACTTCATCCTTGTCCTGTTTCGACTAATTTATATATAGGATTTTTTCCAAATTATAAACTTCTTCACAATTATCCTTATTTTATCTAACTCCCTAATTCAGCATGCCTCTAGAATTCATAGTGCGGGTGATCAGGTCGCACTATAAAGCCAGGACAGATTTCAGAGGTCATTGAAATCATTCAATGAATTGTTTCATCCAATAGTATACTACTCCTAACAACCATCAAGACCTTTCATAAATGTTGTAATTCCTTAGGACAGCTCTTTTCAAAATAAATCACACATATTTACTTATCCCTCAGTAAATAAAACCCAAATTACATGTGTATGCCCCTTTAAGATATTTCACTTCCATCCCATCAAAAAAAAAAAAATAGAAATAAAAATCCTATACAACTAACATTTCATACTAAGTAGTTTGTTTGTGGTTATTTGAACACCATATAGTAAAACAATAAACAAACAAAAATGGCCAGGCCTTATTTATTTTGGTAGCTCCCTATGACAACCTAAAAATAAAACTACTTAATTTTACTAACTAGTTCCACCCTAGCCTACAGACTTTTTAAACCTCCCAATAAAGAAATCCCCATGTTCCTGGAAGAGAAAGTATACATGTCGTTAACATATAATCAACAATCCAAAGATAGTAATTACACACAAAACATCATACATATATCCCCAGTCCTATCTCATCAACAATCATTAACCCCAGCATCAATTAAAAATAGTTTGATACGTCTTGTCCTACCTTACCCCTAACATAATATTATAGGAGACTCCCATCAACCCTTAAAAGAAACTCCCACTTAGAAGACACTAGATAATAACACATTTTATTAAGTTAACTACACCTTCCACTATAAACCTATAACCCCATTTTAGTAATTTAACGTCGCAAACTGTTGCATTGATGTTCTCTTTTTTTTTTCTTAAATATAAACTTATTGTTTCATAATCCAAAACCCATAAAAAGATGTCTACTTAATCCATCAAGCCAACAGCAACAACTACCTCCCATCGTTCAACGTACTATAAACAAATGATCGTTATCTGAAGTAATAAAACATCATCATAACTCACTGCTGTTTAAACAAACTATATAATGTCATAATAAAATGATCAATTATCAAATATCGTTCCTTATTCAACTATCGAGACATGTTCTTCATTAGTTAATCGTCTCCACAAAGCAATACTACCTAATAACATATTCTCATTCTCCTAAGTAGAAATAATGACTCCTATTAAACAATCCCATTCAACATCAAGTCAACCTGTCTCATCACCCAATTAACTTATTTTTTAAACCCTCTACAATATCTATCATACTCTACCGCTAATTTTCCTCATAATGGTACCTTAACAGATGACAAATTATTTTATATTTATAGTAAAAACCAATAAAACATCCAATTCACCAATATGCAATTTCAATTACTATGTTATCCTATCCGACATGGATTGGTAGGACAACATCTTTCCTATAATGTTATCAATGAAACCAGTAATTCACATCAATAACATCAATGTAAAAGATTTGCTTTCTGTCCCCTACTGGATTCGAACCAGGGACCCTCTGCACACATTGACAACATTCACCACCGAAGCACCGTTACCCGTCGCTCCACCAATGCCACACAAAGCATCTACTTCCAGTTCATAGAGCACGTGACGTCACCCAACGAAAACCACACTAGCTCTCACCGCTAACTAGCTAGCAATTTCCTGCCGATAATAATAATAATAATAATAATAATATGCCATTTAGCAGACGCTTTTATCCAAAGCGACTTACAGTCATACAAAATACGCGATCCTTGTACACCTAACTTAACCCATAATGTCCCTTATAGCATTCTCACGTTTCAGCAAGCCCCAATGTTCAACACCCACAGACAAAAATGGAAATTCTTCCATTTTTCCTAGCAGACCCAATAGAACACACTTTCAAACAGCGTTCTGCATTTACCTCTATCATAGGGTTTAAAAACGAACTTAACAACATTAATCATCCTAAATTGCCATAGTAACATCATGTTTGGTTCAGTTGATATATTACCATATAAGACATTCACTTCTCCATGCGTCGTAAACTATATCCTATTTCTCTTGTAACCAACTAAAATCATAGTCACGCAATTAAACCATCACCCCGCCATTACAGAATGAATGAGATCTATTAATCTATCCTTTCTAAGTAAGCTACAAGTAACACCAAACACTTGCTGTAGTTTACCATCATATATTGAAATCATCCATTTAGCACAATCCAATTTATTTATAGACATATTCCACCATTGTCACTCCTTTAATCTAGCAAAACCTTATTCAATGACTAAAAATTACTACCACGTACTCTCCTCTCCGTTAACATTTTAGTCATTTAGCAGATGCTCTTATTCCAAGCGACGCACAATTAGTGGGCTCATACATTATTATACTTATACTAGCCCCCCTTGGGAATCGAACACCCAACCCTGGCGTTGCATGCACCGTGCTCTACCAACTGAGCTACAGAGGACCACAGATGAGCGTATAGTGCCTTTTTCTGATAATGTTATAATTGTAGCCTATTGCATTACTTTAGTTTAAAATATAAGTTTGTTTATTCAACAAATCTAGAACCCACTATAAATTGATGCTATTCACTCAGCTTATAATAGCCAAAGCTCCTTGCATCCCCTAGTTCACGCAACGAAAATACATTATCATTCTACAATTCACCAACTATTCGCATACATTACTGGTGTCACGCGAACCATAGAATAAAGTGATAACAATTAGAATTTTGTCAAATAAATGTTTTCCATCCAGCTATTCAAACTTGCTTTAAATAACTCTTTCAGCTCGATACAGTCAAGCAAGTATGACTCTCTTTTAACCGGAAACTAGTTCATGGCATTAGTAAAGTCTATTCACATCCCAACAATAACTAATAATATATGTATATTCATAATATTAAAATACCTTACTTTCATTCCAGTCTACCTAAACAATTCAAATTATGGCCAAATCTCTTATCCAAATTGCCAGTCCGCTATTCAAATGTAACTGTCCTTTCTGATTTAGACTATAGACACTCCTCCTTTCTCGTTGAATAAGTGAGTCCTTCAGTCTGAAAAGACGCAGGCTACTAGATCGTCCAATCTTATCCTGACTGTTCCTTCAATCTAAACAACCCACAACTATAGCTAAACTATACTTAGAAAACCTAGACTCTGTTCAGCGATGCAGAATCTATGCTTTATTGAAATGACAAGTTAATCCTCCTTTATTCCAATGATAATGGTCAGTAGTTTTAGTATCTGGCACATACCACACTTTATCAGAAAATAGCTTTGAAGGACACAGATCTCACACGCTCAACGTAATCAATTTAGCAGTCAACAAGTCAAACCTCACATTCATTGATTTGGAAACAGATCTAACGACCTAACCAAATGAATTATATATCTGCTTCTGAAATAATAGATAGTTTATTATAATGTTTAATTCTACCACATGTCCTATGTACTCTCTCCCATTTCCACGTACGTCTACGTGTTTGGGCAAGTCAACACCTATAATTTTATCCAATCCCTCGTATTAAATCACACTCACAGAAAATTCATTCTATTCCAATATATTCATATCTACCAAACCATTCATGTTTCTAATTATTCTTTATTGCCACAAATCAGTTAATCACCATCTAGTCTCAGCGGAACAAACAACAAATTACCCAAATCATTTCCCTCAGTCATAGAATCCTCCTAGAATCATATATGCTGGTCACTATTCCCTGATCTTACAAAATTCTATGACAGGCATTGTTGTACGAAACTCCAAGATATAATTTACAAGAAAAGCTTATTATTCCAACGTATATATAATTATCAAACACACCTATATATCTCATCATTCAAACTTCAGAGTGCGACTAATTTACATCATTATACCACTCTTATTCCATATTTATACAATGTTGTCCTCAAACGCCCTTAATTACTATTTGTATAACCTACAGGAATATCTTATTCTATCAAAGGGCCCAAATTTGGAATGTTAACCCTATCCTAGTTATTATTTTACTGTAGTCAATTTATCATAATACTGCATCACCTCTAAAGTTTCTAAATATAATGTCAGAAACATACCCTAACAGATTTATCAAAATACAATGCATAGACGTCATATAACCACACCGGTACACGTGACCTGTTCCTCCAACAGGATTTATTCTACTCCTCCTGGTAACGTGAATTTTCTACACTCAGTTGGTCAATGAATATCCACGCACCATTTATTCTTCTCTTTCCTAATGTGAGATTGGGCACACCCTTTCTCCATCAGACAGAAGCTTCAAACAACCTCAAATATATTTCCTTTCCTTACAGAAAGGCTATTTACTTGCAGGATTTCTTATTATTCTCACTCACACAGATGAGCAGCCACTTGTGCCCAAATGAATCAGACAGTTTAATGACTCACAGCCACCCAAGCAACCCATTCCCCATATGAGATGAGCAGACCTACTCTATATAACACTTTATCAAAATGTTGACGCCCTTGTAGCTATTTAACCCGTTCACCTACTCAGGATGACCGGTGTTACTCCAATTTATGGTGTCACCTACGCCGGATGACCTAACTTTTTTACCTGATCGACCCTACCTAATTTTGGCATCACCACAACACAGGATGATGCCCTACCTGCCCGTTCAGACCTCTGGAGTGCTAATTTTAGCTCTCCATAGCGCTATCCACAGGATTGATATTTATTTAGCCCAGGTGTTATACTTCCTCTACACACCTGGACTTCTACTACGCTTTCCTAAGCGACCTGTAAATTATGCCCTATTTTTTCTGTTACACTTCCTCAACACAGAAAAAGGAGCGGTATTACACAGGATTTCTGCCTACCTAAGCAGTCCTCAAGACGATTCACTTCCACGACACGTCTAAAGCGGTATCTGTAGGACTTAACATGTTATTGTCTGATCGCTCAACCAGCGGGACAACCACCCGTGCCGAAATGACTCAGACAAAGCGATCAGCAAGATGAATCTAATGAATCAAATGAATCAAATGAATCAAATGAATCAAATGAATCAAATGAATCAAATCAATCAAATCAATTGAACAGACGGTTCAGACAAACAACAGCGACATGTATTCTTAAATTCAAAAGCTCCTAGTGTCTAATTTTCTGGTTCTTAAATTTGGAGAGACCTACTTGGTATTTCTTTAGATGTTGCCGAGCCCCGGATCGGACCACACAAACGTTATACTATATAAGTAAGAACTTGGCTTACCTTTTAAAAGCGGCCGCTTTTGTTTGCATGGTCCGTCCAAGCCGTTTCACAACTGCAGATGTATACCGTCTCTGATCCCTATTTTTCAACTCCTGGACAAGCTCGCCAATATGTCGTAGAAATATTTGACTAATAGATAATCAACTCAAAAATATCTCTCAAGACACCGGAGCTTGTGAATTCAAGAATTATACTTTATTGCATAACAAAGCCGAGCTAGCCCCATGGAACAACTGTCTCGCTCTGGCTTAGAGATCTCTTATATATATACACACAAATGAAAAAACATGCGTACATTCCTAACTTTTTTCAGTTCTGCACCACCCTTCTTTTTCAACGTCCAGCTGTCACACAATGTCCACTCCAAAATGTCATGAATGATTTTTTTCTATATGAAGCCTCTCATTCTATCATTCTATTGGCTGCGTGGCTTAGGCCCCTTCTTAAAAAAAGAACTAATGTAATGCATACCATGTGTCTATAACAAACCCATGGGCCACAGTTTGAGAGCCCCTGTGAAAGAACACATGCATTCATTTAAAACACAGCATATACTCCATGTCTATATTCCTTATTTAAGCATGTATCTGGATTATAAAATATCAAACATGTTCATTCTGTTTCACCATTATCATTTCATAACACATTATAAAACATATCCATTAATACTTAAATATGATTTAAACATGTCATCCATAACCCATTCTCAACCACATACATTTAAACATTTATCATTCATCATCCTCCCCGGCCCCTGAGATTATGTGCATGTGGCCATGTGTCAGGTCATAAGGTCATAAGCACAAAAAATGATAACACTAGTTCCATTGTTACTCCAATCTCCACACAAGTCATTGACATACCCAGCCCAGCTGCAGGGAGTTTATGAAAAACACATAAATGTCTCTGCTCTGTATTAACCCTTCAACTGGTTCTCAATCCATAAACATTTTAAGGCATATAGGTTTTTAATTCTACAACATATGTACTTGAAAATCATCTATAACTGTCATCATAGGATGATGTGGATGTGGATGATATCCGAGGATACTGTCATCATAGGATGATGTAGATGTGGATGATATCAGAGGATACTGTCATCATAGGATGATGTGGATGTGGATGATATTAGAGGATACTGTTATCATAGGATGATGTGGATGTGGATGATATCAGAGGATACTGTCATCATAGGATGATGTGGATGTGGATGATATCAGAGGATACTGTCATCATAGGATGATGTGGATGATATCAGAGGATACTGTTGTCTGGGTGACTTCATTTGTTTTCAAGGACAATCTTCCTGGGCATGCCACAATGTGGAGGATTTTTTTGTTTTCTAAAAGGAGAACATATGTGATTGTCTCTGTCAGTCTCTTGGTAGTAATGTTGTGCCCCATCTCTGTCTGTGGATGTGTGGATGAGTTCATTTGTTATCAAGAAGACGGCCACAGTGTTGTTGTTGTTGTGGTCTAATGTTTAGCTCTCTTCCTTTGTGTGTAGGAACTGGACCGCATCATCAATCAGATGGTCCACGTGGCAGAGTACCTGGAATGGGACTCTGCAGAGCTGCGACCGGTAAGGATGCACACAGCCTTGTGTGTCTTGTTTCCCCTGTTACCAAAGTTTTGTGGTGACCTGAAAAGGCTAGCTTAACTACAGTGATGAGGACATGTTGGATCATTAGAGTATTATAATTTGACAAGACTTTACTGGACTCATCCGCCGTCCTCCCCGTCTCCCTGTGTTCTAGATCCTGAAAGAGATGATGGAAGAGATAGACTATGACAGGGACGGAACAGTCACTCTGGAGGAGTGGATCAGAGGAGGCCTCACCACCATCCCTCTGCTGGTCCTGCTGGGCATGGAGACGGTGAGGGAGGGTGTGTGTGTGTGATATCATTTGATAATGGATGCCATACAGAGTGGCTTGCGAAAGTATTCACCCCCCTTGGCATTTTTCCTATTTTGTTGCCTTACAACCTGGAATTAAAATTGATTTGGGGGGGATTTGTATCATTTGATTTACACAACATGCCTACCACTTTGAAGATGCAAAATATTTTTTCTTGTTAAACAATCAAGAAATAAGACAAAAAAACAGAAAACTTGAGCGTGCATAACTATTCACCCCCCCAAAATCAATACTTAGTAGAGCCACCTTTTGCAACAATTACAGCTGCAAGTGTGGTGAGTGATTTTGAAGGAGTCAGGCGCAGGAGGGTAAATCACACAATAAAATATTTATTCTGAAAACACAGCGGTACGCAGCAATGCGTCAAACACTCCAGTGCGGAAATCAGGCGCACTGGAAACAACAAGGCACACGGATGAAATATCCAGGCGATACAAAATACAAAGAGCTCCACCAAGCTAATCTAACCTCCACAATAAACAATCACACACAAATACAAGGGGGCAGAGGGAACACTTATACAGGTACTGATGAGGGGATGTGTGTAATAAACAAGACAAAACAAATGGAAAAGAAGGCCGGTGACGACCCGAACAAGGAGAGGAGGCAGCTTCGGGGGAAGTCGTGACAGTACCCCCACCCCCCCCCCCAGGAGGACATGGAGCAGGGCGAGCCGGATGGCGACGGTGGAAATCCCGCAACAGGGAGGGATCGAGGATATCCCTCACCGGGACCCAACACCGCTCCTCCGGACCGTGACCCTCCCACTCCACGAGGTACTGAAGGCCCCCAACCCGACGCCTTGAATAAAGGATGGAACGGACGGAGTACGCCGGGGCGCCCTCGATGTCAAGAGAGGGCGGAGGGACCTCCCGCACCTCAGACTCCTGGAGCGGACCAGCCACCACTGACCTGAGGAGAGACACATGAAACTAGGGGTTAATACGGTAATCTGGAGGGAGTAGTAACCTATAGGTAACCTCGTTTATTTTCCTCAGGACTTTGAACGGCCCCACAAACCGCGGGCTCAGCTTCCAGCAGGGCAGGCCGAGAGCCAGACCCGATCACCCGGTACAAAGACCGGGCCCTCACTGCGGTGGCGGTGAGCGTTGGCCTTCTGGCGACACACGGCGCGCTGGAGGTGGACGTGAGCAGCGTTCCACGTCTCCTCTGCATGCCGAAACCAGTCATCCACCGCAGGAGCTTCGATCTGGCTCTGATGCCACGGTACCAGAACCGGCTGATAACCTAAAACACATTGAAATGGCGATAGGTTAGTGGAGGAGTGGCGGAGAGAGTTCTGTGCATATTCGGCCCATGGCAAGAACACCAACCATTCCACTGGCCGGTCCTGGCAATAGGACCGCAGGAACCTACCCACATCCTGATTCACCCGTTCCACCTGCCCATTAGACTCGGGGTGAAACCCAGAGGTCAGGCTGACCGAGACCCCAGACGTTCCATGAATGCCTTCCAGACCCTGGATGTAAACTGGGGACTCCGGTCAGACACTATGTCCAATTGCACCCCATAGTGCCGTAAGACGTGCGTAAACAGGGCCTCCGCAGTCTGCAGGGCCGTGGGGAGACCGGGCAGAGGAAGGAGGCGGCAGGCTTTTGAAAAGCGGTCCACAACGACCAGGATGGTGGTGTTACCCTGAGAGAGGGGGAGATCGGTGAGAAAATCAATACACAAGTGGGACCATGGCCATTGTGGAACTGGTAAGGGATGTAACTTACCCGCTGGGCGGTGCCTAGGTGTTTTACTCTGGGCGCACACCGAGCAGGAGGAGACATATACCCTCACGTCATCAGCCAAGGTAGGCCACCAGTACTTTCCGGTCAGGCAGCGCACTGTACGGCCGATACCTTGGTGACCAGAGGAGGGGGATGTGTGTGCCCAATAGATCAGACAGTCATGGACAAGAGACGGCACGTACCGCAGCCCAGCTGGGCACTGAGGTGGAGATGGCTCTGTGCGTAACGCTGGCTCTATGTCCGCGTCCACCACCCATACTACCGGCGCCACAATGCAGGAGGCCGGTAGTATGGGGGGTGTTGTCTATGGGCCTCTCCTCTGTGTCGTACAGCCGTGACAGTGCGTCTGCCTTCACGTTCTTTGTACCCGGTATGTAGGACAGTATAAAATCAAACCGGGTGAAGAACAGGGCCAACCTGGCCTGGCGAGGGTTCAGCCTCCTCGCTGCCCAGATGTACTCCAGGTTACGGTGGTCAGTCCAGACAAGTAAAGGGTGTTTCGCCCCCTCGAGTCAGTGCCTCCAAACGGTCAGGGCTCTGACAACAGCTAACAGCTCCCGATCACCAATGTCGTAGTTCTGCCTTGCAGGGCTGAGCTTCTTGGAGAAGAAGGCACAGGGGCGGAGCTTGGGTGGCGTGCCCGAGCGTTGAGATAGGACAGCGCCTATCCCTACCTCGGACGCATCCACCTCCACTACAAACGGTAATGATGGATCGGGATGGACCAGTACCGGGGCTGAGGTGAACAGAGCCCTCAGATTACTGAAAGCCCTGTCAGCCACAGCACACCAGCGGAGCCGGACGGCCAACCCTTCAACAGAGAAGTGATGAGAGCTGCGACCTTGTCAAAGCCCCGGATAAACCTCCGATAGTAGTTGGCAAAGCCAATAAAGCGCTGCACCTCGTTTACCGTGGTTGTAGTCGGCCAATTACACACGGCTGAAATGCGATCTCCCTCCATCTCCACACCTGAGATGGTGATGAAGTATCCGAGGAAGGAGACGGACTGTTGGAAAAACAGACACTGTTCTGCCTTGGCATAAAGGTCATGTTCCAACAGTTGGCCCAGCACTTTGCGAACCAGGGACACATAATAATAATAATAATAATAATAATAATAATAATATAATAATATGCCATTTAGCAGACGCTTTTATCCAAAGCGACTTACAGTCATGTGTGAATACATTTTTACGTATGGGTGGTCACGGGGATCGAACCCACTACCCTGGCGTTACAAGTGCCATGCTCTACCAATGCTCAGCGCATGCTCGGCGCGCGTAGTGGAATACACCAGAATGTCATCGATGTAGACCACTACACCGCGACCAAGCATGTCCCGAAACACTTCGTTCACCAAGGACTTGAAGACTGATGGAGCATTCATCAAGCCGTACGGCATCACCAGGTATTCGTAATGCCCTGTGGTTGTGCTGAATGCTGTCTTCCACTCGTCCCCCTCTCGGACACGCACCAGGTTGTACGCACTCCGGAGATCTAATTTTGTGAAGAATCGCGCCCCATGCATTGACTCGATTACAGATGGAATGAGGGGTAGAGGATAACTATAACGAATTGTCCCCTTGTTCAGTGCTCGGTAAACAATGCAAGTGCGCAGCCCTCCGTCTTTCTTCTTCACAAAAAATTAACTTGAGGAGTTGAAGTGGAGGGACGTATGAACCCCTGGCGCAGGGACTCGGAGACGTATGTCTCCATCGCCTCCGTTTCAGCCTGCGACAGGGGATATACATGACTCCTGAGAGGCACAGCGTCTACCCAGAGGTTTATCGCACAATCCCCCGCCCAATGAAGTGGTAATTTGGTCGCCTGCGTTTTGGAAAACGCGTGCGCCAAATCGAGGTATTCGGGGGGAATGCACACGGTGGAGGTAGTGTCTGGACTTTCCACCATGGTTGCACCAACGGAAACAGCTAGACATCTACCCTGACACTCTCGCGACCATCTCTTGAGAACCCTCTGCGGCCATGAAAAGATGGGGTTGTGATGTGTTAACCAGGGAAGACCCAACACAACAGGGAAATCAGGAGACTCAATAATAAAAAAGGTGACTTGCTCTCTATGGGTCTCCTGCGTAACCATTGTGACTGGTGCTGTAACTTCCCTAATGAACCCTGACCCTAATGGTCAACTGTCCAGTGCTTTGATGGGCAGTTGAATGGATAGGGGAACCAATGGAATACCTAGGCTATGAGCTAACGACCTGTCCATAAAGTTCCCAGCTGCGCCTGAATTGACCAGCGCCTTACACTGGGACACTACTGTATGGTGCGGTGCGCAGCAGAGGGCTCTGAACGAGTGTTGGTTTGCGCTACCTGGAGTGACGCGAGAGTGCCCTGCCTGCCGCCTCCAGACCCGGAAGAACCCTGACGACAGCGTGCAGTGGAATGTCCTCTCCTGCCACAAGCGTGAAACTGGAGCTGTCGTCTTCCGTTCTCCCGGATCGCTGCACCACCCAGCTCCATCGGAACTGAATTCGGGTTGAAGGGGGGTGAAAAGGGCAGGCCACTTCCAGAACGTCCTCTTGCAGCCAACAGGTTGTCCAACCAGATGGCCATGTCCACCAGCTGGTCGAAAGTCAACATGGCATCCCGGCAGGCTAGCTCCCTTCAGACGTCCTCTCGCAGGCTGCACCGGAATCTGTCGATGAGGGCCCTCTCGTTCCACCCAGACCCAGCCACTAGAGTACGAAACTCCAGGGCATAGTCCTGCGTGGTCCTCGTCCCCTGCCTCAGTTGGACCAGTCGCTCGCCCATCTCTCTTCCTTCGGGCGGGTGGTCGAAGACTGCCCGGAAGAGGCGAGCGAACTCCCCGTAGTTGTCCAACGCAGCTCCTCCTTCACTCCAGACAGCGTTGGCCCACTCCAGGGCTTTTCCTGAGAGTTAGGAGACGCGCGGACACCTTCTCCTGCTCCGATGGAGCCGGGCTGATGGTTAAGAAGTAGATGTCCAGCTGCAGGAGGAATCCTTAGCAGCGGGCAGCTGTTGTTATGGCTATGGTTCAACCCAGCACTCAGAGAAACCAACACGACAAAGGGAGTGGAAGAAACAAAAATGTTTTAATAAAAGTTCAAATTGTCTTAGTCCAAAAACAACTGGAGTAAAGGAACAGAGTGGGCTAGTCGGCTCCGGAGGAAGGAGAGGCTGAGGCAGGCAGGCAGGCAGGCAGGCAGGCAGGCAGGCAGACCGACAGGCAGGAAGGCAGGCAGGTTGGGAGGTATGGCTGAACGCTCTGGTAAGAACAACGATCTGGCGCCGGTGGAGAGCCATGCCCAGGAATAAGTAGTGCAGGTTGATGAGAGAATAGGATGCAGCTGCGTAGGCAGGAATCACTGGAAACAACCCGCAGCTGCACAGGAGAGGCAGATCCTGAGCACGCCCCCTGCTCCACTCCAGACACACCCACATAAAGGGGACAAACACACATACAACAGAAAAAGAGGGGACAAAACAAGGAGGAAGGGAAACAGAAAAGGGAGAGACAAGCTGCCCACATAACAGTACCCCCCCCTCAATGGTCGCCACCTGGCGACCCACCAGGCCTGTCAGGGTTGTCGTGATGGAAGTCCGTGATCAGCTGAGGATCCAACACAAAACGCTTAGGGACCCAAGACCTCTCCTCTGGTCCATAACCTTCCCAATCGACTAGGTATTGGAGACCCCTACCCCGCCTCCGAGAGTCCAGGAGCCTACTGACGGTGTAGGCCGGATGGTCGTCAATGAGGCGAACAGGTGGAGGTGGATCAGCCGGCGGACACAAAAGGCTGGAGGACACAGGTTTCAGTTGGGAGACGTGGAAGGTAGGGTGTATCTTCATGGCTGAAGGCAACTTCAAACGAACCGCAGCGGGGTTAATGATGGACTCCACCACAAACGGACCCAGGTACCGAGGAGACAGCTTGCGTGATTTGGTACGAAGAGGTACGTTCTTAGATGACAGCCAAACCTCTTGACCAGGATGAAACACAGGTGCGGGAGTCCTGCTCCTATCCGCTGTTGTCTTGTTCCTGTCGGTGGTCCGAAGCAATGCTTCCCGAGCGTCGCTCCACACTCTCTGGCAGCGGCGGAGGTTCTCCTGAACCGAAGGAACAGCCAATTCCTTCTCCTGAGCAGGAAACAGAGGGGGTTGATAACCCATGGTAACCTCGAAGGGTGAAAGACCGGTGGCAGAGGCGGTGAGGGAGTTGTGGGCGTACTCTATCCAGGGCAGATGTTTAGCCCAGGATGATGGATGTTGAGCAGCCACACAACGAAGGGTTGCTTCGAGGTTTTGATTGGCTCTTTCTGTTTGACCGTTGGTCTGGGGATGAAACCCTGAGGACAGACTAACGGAAGCACCCAAAGCAGAACAGAAACCCTTCCAAACACGGGAAGTAAACTGTGGGCCTCTATCAGATACGATGTCCACAGGTATTCCATGGGGACGGAATACATGTTGGACTAGGAGGTCCGCTGTCTCACTGGCAGACGGTAATTTTGGTAATGCTATATAGTGGACAGATTTAGAGAATCTGTCCACAATGGTAAGTATAGTATCATTACCTTCAGACTTGGGTAGGCCGGTGACAAAATCCATGGCAATGTGGGACCAGGGACGGCTGGGAACTGGGAGGGGTAGCAGCAGCCCCGAAGGGGACTGATGGGAGGCTTTGCCCCGAGCACAGGTTGAACAGGCTGCCACAAAAGCCCGAACGTCAGTTTCCATTGAAGGCCACCAAAAATGTCTCCTAAGCAGCGTCAACGTGCGTCTCATCCCAGGGTGACCAGCAAAACGGGAGGTGTGAATCCACTGCAACACCTGAGACCGGACCGTCTCGGGAACAAAGAGTAGGTTGGGAGGTCCATCACCCGGTCCCGGGTCCGTGGCAAGTGCAGTCTTCACAAGAGACTCGATCTCCCACTGAACAGCCGCCACGACGCATGAGGAAGGCAGGACTGCCTCAGGCTCGCTGGTCTCCGAAGGGTCAGCAAACTGGCGGGACAAAGCATCTGGTTTAACATTTCTTGACCCCGGTCTGTATGTAAGAATAAAGTTAAACCTACTAAAAAACAGGGCCCATCTGGCTTGGCGTGAGTTGAGTCTCTTAGTGGCTTGGATGTAAGCCAAGTTTTTGTGGTCAGTCCAGACCACAAACGGCAATTCAGCTCCATCCAGCCAGTGCCGCCATTCTTCCAGTGCAAGCTTGACCGCCAGCAGTTCCCGGTTTCCAACGTCGTAATTCCGTTCTGTGGGTGACAATTTCTTGGAGAAAAAAGCACAGGGGTGAAGCCTTTGGTCAGTGGGGGAGCGCTGGGAGAGGACAGCTCCCACACCTGAGTCCGACGCGTCCACCTCCACAACAAACTGCAGAGAGGTATTGGGGTGTATCAACACGGGGGAGGCGGAAAACAGTTCCTTCAAAACCCCTACCGCCTGCTCCGCCTCAGGGGACCACCGAAAAGGGACTTTAGGAGATGTGAGTCTTGTAAGGGGTGCCACCACTCTACTAAAACCCTTAATGAATCTACGGTAGAAGTTAGCAAAGCCCAAAAATCGTTGAAGTTGCTTACGGGTGGTGGGTGTGGGCCATTCCGTCACTGCCCGGATCTTCTCGGGGTCCGCCTTCACCTGCCCGCTCTCAATTATGAATCCAAGGAACGATGTAGACTGTTTGTGGAACTCACACTTCTCTGCTTTGACGTACAGCTTGTTCTCCAAGAGCCGTTGAAGGACTTGACGGACGTGTGACTCATGCTCCTCGGGTGACTTGGAAAAAACAAGAATATCATCCAGGTATACAAAGACAAAACGGTTCAAAAAATCCCTAAGAACATCGTTCACCATGGCTTGGAAAACCGCAGGGGCATTTGAAAGCCCAAAGGGCATGACCAAATACTCAAAATGTCCCAGTGGAGTGTTGAAAGCGGTTTTCCACTCATCTCCCTTTCGGATTCGGACAAGGTGATAAGCATTCCTGAGGTCGAGCTTGGAAAACACTGTGGCGCCATGCAGAGGTTCAAAAGCTGAGTTGATGAGTGGAAGGGGATACTTGTTTTTAACAGTTATGTTGTTTAAACCCCTGAAATCGATACAGGGGCGTAACGACTTGTCCTTCTTTTCCACGAAAAAGAAACCTGCACCCAAAGGAGACGACGAGGGACGGATTATGCCCGAGACCAGAGAATCACCAATGTACTGCTCCATTGCCTCTCTTTCCGGTCGGGACAGATTGTATAACCGACTAGAGGGCAAGGGAGCACCAGGAAGCAGTTCAATAGGGCAATCATAAGGCCTATGTGGTGGTAGAGACAGAGCCTTGTCCTTACTGAAAACCTCCGCTAAGTCATGGTATTCTTTGGGGACAGATGACAGATCAAGAGGAGCTGAGGGAGGAGTTGGGTTACACTTAGTGGGGGGAACCGCTGACCTCAGGCACTCGGAATGGCAGTTAGTGCTCCAACTGAGAATGGTGTGACGTGTCCAATCAATTTGTGGGTTGTGAAGAGCCAACCAGGGGAAGCCAAGGATTAGGGAGGTAGCTGAGCCAGACATAACTCTTAGCTGAATGCTTTCACAATGATTGCCAGAAATCACTAGGGAAACGGGGGTGGTTTGATGAGTTATCTCCGCGAGGAGGCGCCCATCAAGGGCTGTGACCCGGATGGGGGTAGGTAGTGGCTCCATGGGGATACGAGCTTGTGTAACGAACTGGTGGCTAATAAAGTTATCTTCTGCACCTGAGTCTATGAGAGCTGAGAGTGGCAGGGAATGACTCTGGAAACGTAAGGTTACAGGTACTTGTAATCGGGGAATGATGGGTTCAGGATCTAACTCTGGGCTCGCAAGTAGACCCACCGTTACGAGCGAGCCTTGTCTTTTGGCCGCTTAGGGCATGTAGCCAGAATGTGTGTGGCGTCTCCACAGTACAGGCACTCACCCGCCTGGAGGCGCCGTTGCCGCTCAGCTGGAGGAAGTCGAGCTCGACCCACTTGCATAGGTTCCTCCTCTGTGCTCGGGATGGAATCAGGAACAAGAAGCTGCCGACTCCGGAGAGGCGAGACTCAAGTGGTTGAAGGCTGGGGAACTCGTCCTCCTAGATGTGGCCGATCGCCTCTCTCCCGACGCCTCTCCCGCAACCGATTGTCTAGCTTGATGGACAGGGAAACGAGAGAGAATGTAAATCATGTGGCTCATCACGAGCAGCCAGTTCATCCTTAATGGCTTCATTCAAACCGTTTAGAAATGCTCCTTGAAGTGCCACATTGTTCCACTTGGAGTCCGCTGCCAACGTCCAGAACTCAATAGAGTACTCTGCCACACTGTTAGAACCCTGCCTCAAATTAAAAAGTATCTTGGAGGAATTACCCACATGGTCAGGATGGTCAAAAACAGTCTTCAATTTAGCAGAGAAATCAGCAAAAGTCAATCCAGTCAAAGTTTGATCTGAGCACACAGCCTCAGCCCAAACCAGAGCTTTCCCCCTTAACAGCCCCAGAACATAATGTACCTTAGATGAATCAGTAGAAAACGACAGTGGTCTCTGCCGAAAAATCAAGTCACACTGAAGCAAAAATCCCCGGCACTTGTCCAATTCTCCATTGAACGGTTCAGGCGACGTGACAGGGGGTTCCCGACGGAACGAAGCCTGCCTAGTGTCCGAGGAAACAACTTGGGGTGCATCAAACTGGGGGTCAGAGAGAGATGGAGAACTGATAACAGACAATTTAGAGACGTGTGTAGTTAACTGAGTCACCTGGTTCAGCAGTTGATGATTATCTTCCACAAGAGTCCGAATCAACTGGTCATGCTGTCCTAGCAACGTTCCTTGAGCCTGGATAGCTTGTTGGAAGCTGTCTTTGTTTGCCCCGTGCTGTTTCTCTGTTGGGTCCATGGCCAGATCGTTCTGTTATGGCTATGGTTCAACCCAGCACTCAGAGAAACCAACACGACAAAGGGAGTGGAAGAAACAAAAATGTTTTAATAAAAGTTCAAATTGTCTTAGTCCAAAAACAACTGGAGTAAAGGAACAGAGTGGGCTAGTCGGCTCCGGAGGAAGGAGAGGCTGAGGCAGGCAGGCAGGCAGGCAGGCAGGCAGGCAGGCAGGCAGACCGACAGGCAGGAAGGCAGGCAGGTTGGGAGGTATGGCTGAACGCTCTGGTAAGAACAACGATCTGGCGCCGGTGGAGAGCCATGCCCAGGAATAAGTAGTGCAGGTTGATGAGAGAATAGGATGCAGCTGCGTAGGCAGGAATCACTGGAAACAACCCGCAGCTGCACAGGAGAGGCAGATCCTGAGCACGCCCCCTGCTCCACTCCAGACACACCCACATAAAGGGGACAAACACACATACAACAGAAAAAGAGGGGACAAAACAAGGAGGAAGGGAAACAGAAAAGGGAGAGACAAGCTGCCCACATAACAGCTGTCCCGTCAAAATCCCTTGGTCGGGATAGATGAATCCCTCTGGGTGCTAGGGTGTGGGTGGCTGGATCCGGTCGCTCAGCTGGTCCCGAACGGTCGGGTCCTCTCCTCTCCAGGCGGAATGATGAGATGAGGAGCGGCAGTGGCTAGAAGGCCGGTGACGACGAATGCCGAAGCCTGCCCGAACAAGGAGAGGAGGCAGCTTCGGAGGAAGTCGTGACAGCAAGTCTCTTGGGGTATGTCTCTATAAGCTTGGCACATCTAGCCACTGGGATTTTTGCCCATTCTTCAAGGCAAAACTGCTCCAGCTCCTTCAAGTTGGATGGGTTTCCGCTGATGTACAGCAATCTTTAAGTCATACCACAGATTCTCAATTGGATTGAGGTCTGGGCTTTGACTAGGCCATTCCAAGACATTTAAATGTTTCCGCTTAAACCACTCAAGTGTTGCTTTAGCAGTATGTTTAGCGTCATTGTCCTGCTGGATGGTGAACCTCTGTCTCAGTCTCAAATCTCTGGAAGACTGAAACAGGTTTCCTTCAAGAATTTCCCTGTATTTAGCGCAATCCACCATTCCTTCAATTCTGACCAGTTTCCCTGCAAATGAAGAACATCCCCATAGCATGATGCTGCCACCACCATGCTTCACTGTGGGGATGGTGTTCTCGGGGTGATGAGAAGTGTTGGGTTTGCGCCAGACATTTTCCTTGATGGCCAAAAAGCTCAATTGTAGTATCATCTGACCAGAGTACCTTCTTCCATATGTTTGGGGAGTCTCCCACATGCCTTTTGGTGACCACCAAATGTGTTTGCTTATTTTTTTCTTTAAGCAATGGCTTTTTTCTGGCCACTCTTCTGTAAAGCCCAGCTCTGTGGAGTGTATGGCTTAAAGTGGTCCTATGGACAGATACTTCAATCTCCACTGTGGAGCTTTGCAGCTCCTTCAGGGTTATCTTTGGTCTCTTTGTTGCCTCTCTGATTAATGCCGTCCCTGCCTGGTCCGTGAGTTTTGGTGGGCGGCCCTCTCTTGGCAGGTTTGTTGTGGTGCCATATTCTTTCAATTTTTTTATAATGGATTTAATGGTGCTCCGTGGGATGTTCAAAGTTTCTGATATTTTTTTTGTAACCCAACCCTGATCTGTACTTCTCCACAACTTTGTCCCTGACCTGTTTGGAGAGCTCCTTGGTCTTCATGGTGCCGCTTGCTTGGTAGTGCCCCTTGCTTAGTGGTGTTGCAGACTCTGGGGTCTTTCAGAACAGGTGTATATATACTGGGATCATGTGACAGATCATTTGACACTTAGATTGCACACAGGTGGACTTTATTTAACTAATTATGTGACTTCTGAAGGTAATTGGTTGCACCAGATCGTATTTAGGGGCTTCATAGCAAAGGGGGTGAATACATACGCACGCACCACTTTGCCGTTATTTATTTATTTAAATTTTTAGAAATTTATTTCATTCCGCTTCACCAATTTGGACTATTTTGTAGGAAAAACGCCAAGGGGGATGAGTACTTTTGCAAGGCACTGTAGCACACGCTTTTATCCAAAGTGCATACATCTACATGAGTGCATACATTTTAGTAAGTGTATATGATCCCTGCGAGAAGAGAGATAAAGTGTGTGTCTGCGTGCGTTTGGAGTTTGGCAGTTCCACTAAATCAATTCAGAAAGATCTTTCTCTCTCTTTCTCTCTCTTTCTCTCTCTTTCTCTCTCTCTCTCTCTCTCTCTCTCTCTCTCTCTCTCTCTCTCTCTCTCTCTCTCTCTCTCTCTCTCTCTCTCTCTCTCTCTCTCTCTCTCTCTCTTTCTCTATCTTTCTTTATTTCTCTGTAGAATGTTCAGGAAGATGGTCAGCATGTGTGGAAACTGAAGCACTTCAACAAGCCAGCCTACTGTAACTACTGCCACACCATGCTGCTGGGAGTCCGCAAGCAGGGCCTCTGCTGCTCCAGTGAGTGTGTGTGTGCGTATGTGCGTGTGTACGTGTGTGTGTGTGGCCCTCTGTCTCCTTAAAGAGATACTTCGAGATTTTGGCAGAGTCAGATGAACTCGTGGGTACCATTTTTTTTTAAATAATGTGTGATCAAAATTGGTGTTTTATCTTTATTGCCCGTGAATTCAAATGTGCAGCTAGATTCTCTCTCTGTGCTTTGGCTCCAACAATAAGTACCTCGGTCTTGTCTTGATTTAGCTGGAGGAAGTTGTGAGCCAAGTATTTAAATCACTAATACATAGGGCTGTGGCGGTCACGAAATTTCATCAGCCAGTGATTGTCAAGCAAATAACTGCAGGTCTCACGGTAATTGACCGTTAATTAACATAAACACATTTAGCATCTCCTGGCTTCCACACATAGCCTACAAGCCACTGATGCAGGCCTTTGGAACATCTACATTTAAAAAAGTCTAATAAATCCATGTAATATAGCCTACACCTTCACAATAAATCCATTATATATTTTAGACAGGTCTAAAGAAACATGATATGAAGAAAAAGTAGTCTATTTCAGAAGAACAGAATAGCATACTCTGAGTTGTCTGTATGTTAGGTCCTGATCTGGATATGCCATATGGCTGTGGGCTACACTAGTTCATTTAGCAGACAAGATTAGCTTAGAATTCTGTGGCATTATTTTATAGTATGAAGAATACAATTGAACAAAGCTGAATAAAATAGAAAGGATATTTTCTCCAAACAATTTGAGGGATTGCGCACATGCGGCTATTCTGTGTTGAGCGGTTAACAAAGAAATAGGTACTCCTATATGCTTAATTTAGAGTTATTAATGTAACTTTAGTTGTTCTACAAATGTTGGGCTATATGTTTTGATTTTAACACATTCTAAGGCTGCATGATGCGACTCTAATGATGATGTGAAAAAAGTTGCATGAAATGCATGAGCTCTGCTTAGTTTTTTAGCGCAGGCTGTCCACACTTCATCAGTCTCTCATTCACAGTTTGACAAGCACTTGATAATGCCTCGAATATCCAGGCAGCATCCCCTTTGTGTGGCCTTAATGCTCCCTAAAATAATTCATGCCTTTTGCGCCCAGTGGCCGTTGTGCCCTTGGGCTAAATATAATAATTATAATTCCCTTCTCCCTGAGTGCTGCGTGCTCCGAAGCACCTCTCACTCACATGGCTCCCCATCACGTGATCGGGTCTTTCTCACAGGCTACAAGTAAAGACAGACACACCGGGGACGCAAATGCGCGCATCCTTATCCAATTCTGAGGTGCATATTGAAGATTTTGGAAGAACTGTCCACATTTACTTTTCGTCAGCCAACAAGATGACGAACAGCAAAAGCACTAGCCTATGTCAATCTACTATCCCCCATAGTACCAAAGTTGACCTATTAAATTCTGTGTGAGAAAGAAATATTCCAAACATAGTCTGGGACAGTTGTGGGATGCGATAGAGCCAAAATTAATACAACCACTACATCAAAAAACCTTTAGCTTAAAATGTTGATAAACTATTAGGCTATTTCTTCACATTATAAGCGCAGCAATGCGAACACAGCAGTAGGCTAATGTTCCATTAATGGGAAAACACCATTCTCAAAAGTGACCGCAAATGCGATTATTTTATGGTGAAAATGGTCTTCCCCAAACTTGAAATTCACCCGCTGCTTATGTATGCCAGTTAGGCTCTACACCCCTTGTAAAGCGGATTAATGTGCTTAATTTTAAGGAGTTATTTGGCCACTTTAGTTGTGATTCAAACCTTATCAAAACATATAGGCCTATGGGCTAGGCTACATGAGGTGTGCGACAATGAAAAAGTAGCCAAAAAAGGCTTTGTTTCTTGCCTTACGCTGTGCAACATTCACAAGTGATAATATATAATTCACAAGTGATAGGCTAATATTGTCACCCATCAGACTATTCTTGATTTAGTCTTGTCTTTACATATACTAAATAATATATGTGTGAAATCTGTTTTGATTTAGAATAGACCATTATCATGCACCTGTCTCGAAACAGGGGCAGGGGAAAAAATACATGTCAACTATGAACTTAAATAGCAAATGGAGGACGCGTTTTCCGTGGTTCAATTTCATGCCAGCCAGGTAGGCTATACTCCTGTTGTAAAGAGAAGCAATGTGCTTAATATTAGGAAAGTTGAGAAATAAATATAGTAAGCCTATAGAAAGCTGATGGGATCCTCCTCTTTTTAACAGAGGCCATCACTCTGTTTTCTCGCGCAATTGCATAGCCTATAGAAATGTTGCGCAACATGAGCTCATGGGCTCTCATGAAGTGTTTAATTAGATTTTCGAAACATTTGCATTGATGTCAGAGTGATTAGAGGGACAATAGAGTGCTGAGTACCAGGCAGTTAGCAAGTTTGGTAGGCTACTAATGACCATCAGCAGCATCAGAGCTTGGAGAAGCCTAATTACCGTGACTAAACAGTCACGTGGAATTTGACTGCCTTCATGAATCGTGACTGCCTGTGTGGCGGTAATCAGGTCACCGTAACAGCCCTACTAATACAGTCTAATTATTTATCTGTGGAGATAAAATCCTCTGGTGACACAGAAATGTAAAGTAGCAGTGAAAATCAATGCTTTGCTTTCTGATAATGCTGCCAATGGGTAACATATATAAACTGAACAGTACCGGACCCAAAATCGAACCTTGTGGAATGCCACGTGATATGTATTTTCTCTGAGTTATGTTCACCAAGGGCGACAAAAATCTCTTGACCGGTTAAATAGGTCCTAAACCAATTTAGAACTGGACCGGAGAGGCCAACCCACCTGTCCAGAAGGACATTACATTTACATTTACATTTACGTCATTTAGCAGACGCTCTTATCCAGAGCGACTTACAAATAGGTGCATTCACCTTATAGCCAGTGGGATAACCACTTTACAATGTTTTTTATTTTGGGGGGGGGGGGGGGGGGGGGGGGGGGTTGGAGTAAAGGGGGGGGGGGGGGGGGGGGGGGGGGGGGTAGAAGGATTACTTTATCCATATGTTGACATCATGGTCAACAGTGTCGAATGCCACACTTAAATCTAAGAGTACAAGGACAGAGAGCTGTTTGGCATCTGTGTTGGCTCTAAGATAATTTGCCACTTTAAGTAAGGCTTTTTCTGTGCTGTGGTGGGCACAAAAACCAGATTGGAATTTTTCAAAAATACAGCTGGCACTTAAAAAATAATTTAGCTGTTTGAAAACCAATTTCTCCAGAATTTTGCTTAACAGTGGAAGGTTGGAGATTATCGGAAAGTTGTTAAAAACGGAATAATCTAGATTACTTTTCTTCAGAAGGGGTTTTACCATAGCAGTTTTTAGTGCAGTGGAGAAAATGCCTGTGAACAGGGAGTGGTTAACAATAGCTTACATTTCTTTAGATATGCAATTAAAAACTGTTTTGAAGAAGGTGGTGGGGATAGGATTGAGAAGGCAGTTAGAAGGCTTAAGATGTTATATCCCTTTCCTGAGCATGTCTGTGTCAACCAAGGAAATTAAATCCATAGTGCCTTTGCATGGTAGGCTAGGGCACATATCATATAACTTCTCATCAGGTCTTGCTTGACTGATACCCAGCCAAATGTTGGTTATCTTATCTCTGAAATATGCCGCAAACACATCACATTTAGATGTGGAGCACTCTCAAATTATTCTGATTAATAGTGATCAAGTTAGAAATTGTAGCCTAGTCTAGTAAATTGACCGTATGTGTTAGGGTGACCATTCAGTTTGTCCAGGGACAGTTTCAGACCCATTTCAGGTGTCCCGACTTATTGGATATAAAAAAGGTATATTTGTCAGCAAGACACGTCAATTAATGTAGGCCTAATCAATGGCAATTGCCGATTGTCATTAGGCACAGTTTTGTAAACAGATGTCCATTCATCATACTGCTCAAGTGCACATCCATTGCACAATTCTGATTATTTAGGAGTCGATGAACATGCACAGGTAGCTTACTTTTTGTAGTGATTGGTTTGTTTCATGCCACATTAAATGGTAATTCATTTTTACCGTTAAATTACATATTTATTATTAGGCTCATAAAATGTTTTCCAATAGAGACCCCACCGAATGTCACGTGTAATTGGCACTCTGGCAGATACCATAGACTTCCAGTCATTGCTCTAACGCTAGTTAGTAATTGCGCTAGGGCTAGTTAGTAACTTCCTTCAAACTGCACTGAGAGACATAAAAATGGTATCCATGAGTTCATCTGACTCTGGGGAAGTAGATAAAGGGCCTCATTGCCAAAATACCGAAGTATCCCTTTAAGTTCCTCTTTCTGTCCCTGGTTGGCCTTCACTCCTTCACTTTGTTATCTCTCTACCTGCCTTTCAGTTCCTCTCTCTGTCTTGCAACCAGATGTTTATATAATATTTATATTTCTGTCTGACTGACTGTTATTCAATCCTCCATTCTGTGAATAATAAACATGATTGCATTACTAATTAATGATCTATTATCAGGATAGTGTTATCGCCTGGTCATTTTATTACATGATTCAATGAAAGGGCTGGTCTTACTGCTCAGTGTTCATCCACTGGTTAACTGTCTCTACCTCTGTGTTTCAGTATGCAAGTACACAGTCCATGAACGCTGTGTGTCCAAAGACATAGCTGCCTGCATCAGCACCTATGCCAAGTCCCGCAGACACACCAATGTGAGTACTATACACACAACTACACACACACACACACACACACACACACACACACACACACACACACACACACACACACACACACACACACACACACACACACACACACACACACACACACATTTGTTTTACTATCCTTGTGGGGACCAGACAATTGAGTCCCATTCAGAATCCTATTTTCACTAAACCCTAAACCTAACCCTTACCCTAACCTTATCCTTAACCCTAAACTCCTAACCCTAATTGTAACCCTAACCTTAAACCTAACCCCTAACCCCTAAACCTAAAATAGACTGTTTCCTTGTGGGGACCGGCGAAATGTCCCCACTTTTTTCCCAGTTGTTTTACAACCCTTGTGAGGACCTCTAGTGTCTCAGCAACATCTGACCAACGTCACTGAGCAACCTGTTTTTGTCAGGAGCAGAAGGGTCATGGGAGCAAGGACTCTCTCTCACACACACACACCCCTACGCATGGGATCATGGGAGCAAGGAGATCATGCAGCGCTACTAATGTTGTTAACCGCGTTTCTATATTTAACCCCTAATTTAATTAGACACCTACTGGAATGATCTCACAGACTTGGAGTTGTCCCTCTAAGACCCTCTCTTTCTCTCCAGATGGAGTTCTACTCTGTTTCAGATCCACTTCATTTTTTTCAAGTTTGGTTCAATAGCAGAAGACACCTTTCAGATGGTCTCTTATTTTTGTAGCTATCGGGCACAAAATATAGCACGTTTAGCACTGGAGTAATCTTGTAACTTCCTTTTAATTATGATTGTTGTCTCCCTCTCTCTCTCTCTCCCACTCTCTCTCTCTCCCTCTCCCCGTCTCCCTCTCTCTCCCCTCTCTCCATTCCTCCCTCTCTCCCTTCCTCCCTCCCTCTCTCCCTCTCTCCCTCTCTCCCTCTCTCCCTCTCCCCTCTCCCTTTCTCTCCTCTCTCTCCCCTCTCTCCCTTCCTCCCTCTCTCCCTCTCCCCCTCTCTCTCTCCCCCTCTCCCCCTCTCTCTCTCCCTCTCTCCAGGCTATGCAGCATGTGTGGATGGAGGGAAACTCTCCCACTAAGTGTGACCGCTGTCACAGAAGTATCAAGTGCTACCAGGGCTTAACGGGCCTACACTGTGTGTGGTGTCAGATCACAGTGAGTAGTACACACCTCCCTGTACTGGAGAACTCCTGGTATAGTTACAATGTTTTGGTTCATAGTGCCTTATGTCAAGTGCCTTGCCTAGTATCAAGTGCTTCAGCAGTCTTCTGTTAATAAAAATGGTCCTGAAGAAATTCACAGCAATAGTTTGTAATCTACCTAATTTCTCATTTTTACATTACCTAAGATGTCCACTAGATGTCAACATTTACCTTTACATTTTAAATAATTTAGAATGAACACAAACTGTGATTCATCAAATCACCAGTAAGTGGAGTTCGAAGAGCTTTTTAGGATTGTCAATTTAGCTTAGTTATGTTCTCATCTCTTTTGCATCACTGCAGGCATTCATCCTCAGTCTTGGAAGCAGCTACTGTGCTCTTTACATGAATCAGACTTTGGCATGAACCAGGGGTTCAGTTTATATTCTGTTATTATTAGCTTCAAGCATTTATGGGGCTTTTGAGTGAAGTGTTTTGCATAACATCTAGCACTGTTATGCAATATCTGGCACTGTTTCAAATGACTTGTGTGAATATATATTTTTGTTTTCCTTTTCCACTCTCCTCATCCTCTTCGCCTCCTCTGCTTCTTTCCTCCCTCCATTCTCCTCCTCCTCCTTCCCGTTCAGCTCCACAATAAGTGTGCGTCCAACATCAAGCCGGAGTGTGATGGAGGAGCTCTTAGAGACCACACTCTACTCCCCTCCTACATCTGCCCTGTCGTCCTGGTGAGATCACATGACCTCAATCACACTCTGAATCTCCTTTTTATTTATCTCCAATACTTTCAATACTGAAAAACACTGAGATATATAAATATAGGTCCATAAAGGTATACACTTTTGTCCCATTTTTCTGTAACAATTCATAAATTCATAAACACATTTATCTTTGTCTGTTTATGTGTCTCTATGTCTGTCCGTCTGTCCATCTGTCGGTCCGTCTGTCCGTCTGTCCGTCTGCCTATCTATCTATCTGTAGGACCGTCATTCTGTTGTGAAGCGGGGTGAAGGGGACTCCCCGCCCAGCAGCAGCCCTGACAACACGAATCAGAGCTTCAAATTCACAGGAGACGGACAAGCACTGCAGGTGAGCAAATCAAGCCCAGAGCATCTTCAGTGGTTAGCGCCTTGGAGTCTGTTGTGTTTCCTGATGGCAGGTTAAAGTGTGTGTTGTGTTTGCATGGGTTTACACTATACAGTATCTCATTAGCCTGTCTCTGCTATCCTGTCCAGATCACTCCTCTCCCAGGTACACATCCCCTCCTGGTCCTGGTCAACCCAAAGAGTGGAGGGAGACAGGGGGAGCGGTAAGTCACATACACTACCGGTCAAAAGTTTTAGAACATCTACTCATTCAAGGGTTTTTCTTTATTTGTACTTTCTACATTGTAGAATAATAGTGAAAACATCAAAACTATGAAATAACTAATATGGAATCATGTAGTAACCAAAAAAGTGTCTTCAAATAGCCACCCTTTGCCTTGATGACAACTTTGCATATGCTTGGCATTCTCTCAACTAGCTTCACCTTGGATGCTTTTCCAATAGTCTTGAAGGAGTGCCACATATGCTGAGCACTTGTTGGCTGCTTTTCCTTCACTCTGCGGTCCGACTTATCCCAAACCATCTCAATTTGGTTGAGGTCGGGGGATTGTGGAGGCCAGGTCACCTGATGCAGCACTATTTTTTTTTTTTTTTGCGGGTTCGATCGGCTTTAATAATATTGCAGATAACATTGTAACTTTCATCAATGTTATTGTCTGCATCATTTCCAATCCCCCATTTGTTTTTTTTCAGCAAATATATATATATATATATATACACAGTTGAAGTCGGAAGTTTGCATACACTTAGGTTGGAGTCATTAAAACTCATTTTTCAACCACTCAACAAATTTCTTGTTAACAAACTATCATTTTGGCAAGTCGGTTAGGACATCTACTTCGTGCATGACACAAGTAATTTTTCCAACAATTGTTTACAGACAGATTTCACTTATAATTCACTGTATCACAATTCCAGTGGGTCAGAATTTTACATACACAAAGCTGACTGTGCCTTTAAACAGCTTGAAAATTCCAGAAAATTATGTCATGACTTTAGAAGCTTCTGATAGGCATATTGACATCATTTGAGTCAATTGGAGGTGTACCTGTGGATGTATTTCAAGGCCTACCTTCAAACTCAGTGTCTCTTTGCTTGACATCATGGGAAAACCAAAAAAGATAGTACGCAAGTATAAACACCATGGGACTATCCAGCCGTCATACCGCTCAGGAAGGACACGCGTTCTGTCTCCTAGAGATGAACGTACTTTGGGGCGAAAAGTGCAAATCAATCCCAGAACAACAGAAAAGGACCTTGTGAAGATGCTGGAGGAAACAGGTACAAAAGTATCTATATCCACAGTAAAACAAGTCCTATATCGACATAACCTGAAAGGCCGCTCAGCAAGGAAGAAGCCACTGCTCCAAAACCGCCATAAAAAAGCCAGACTACGGTTTGCAACTGCACATGGAGTCAAAGATCGTACTTTTTGGAGAAATGTCCTCTGGTCTGATGAAACAAAAATAGAACTGTTTGGCCATAATGACCATCGTTATGTTTGGAGGAAAAAGGGGAACGCTTGCAAGCCAAAGAACACCATCCCAACCGTGAAGCACGGGGGTGGCAGCATCATGATGTGGGGGTGCTTTGCTGCAGGAGGGACTGGTGCACTTCACAAAATAGATGGCATCATGAGGAAGGAAAATTATATGGATATATTGAAGCAACATCTCAAGACATCAGTCAGGAAGTTAAAGCTTGGTCGCAAATGGGTCTTCCAAATGGACAATGACCCCAAGCAGACTTCCAAAGTTGTGGCAAAATGGCTTAAGGACAACAAAGTCAAGGTATTGGAGTGGCCATCACAAAGCCCTGACCTCAATTCTATAGAACATTTGTGGGCAGAACTGAAAAAGCGTGTGCGAGTAAGGAGGCCTACAAACCTGACTCAGTTCACCCAACTTATTGTGGGAAGCTTGTGGAAGGCTACCCAAAATGTTTGACCCAAGTTAAACAATTTAAAGGCAATGCTACCAAATACTAATTGAGAGTATGTAAACTTCTGTCCCACTGGGAATGTGATGAAAGAAACAAAAGCTAAAATAAATCATTCTCTCTACTATTATTCTGACATTTCACATTCTTAAAATACAGTGGTGATCCTAACTGACCTAAAGCAGGGAATTTTTACTAGGATTAAATGTCAGGAATTGTGAAAAACTAAGTTTAAATGTATTTGGCTAAGGTGTATGTAAACTTCCGACTCCAACTGTAAATATATATATACAGTGCCTTGCAAAAGTATTCATCCACCTTGGCGTTTTTCCTATTTTGTTGCATTACAACCTGTAATTTAAATTGATTTTTATTTGGATTTCATGTAATGGACATACACAAAATAATCCAAATTGGTGAATTGAAATGAAAAAAATTACTTGTTTCAAAAAATTCTGGCGCAACCAATTACTTTCAGAAGTCACATAATTTGTTAAATAAAATCCACCTGTGTACAATCTAAGTGTCACATGATCTGTCACATGATCTCAGTATACAGTGGGGAGAACAAGTATTTGAGACACTGCCGATTTTGCAGGTTTTCCTACTTACAAAGCATGTAGAGGTCTGTAATTTTTATCATTGGTACACTTCAACTGTGAGAGACGGAATCTAAAACAAAAATCCAGAAAATCACATTGTATGATTTTTAAGTAATTAATTTGCATTTTATTGCATGACATAAGTATTAAATACATCAGAAAAGCAGAACTTAACATTTGGTACAGAAACCTTTGTTTGCAATTACAGAGATCATACGTTTCCTGCAGGTCTTGACCAGGTTTGCACACACTGCAGCAGGGATTTTGGCCCACTCCTCCATACAGACCTTCTCCAGATCCTTCAGGTTTCGGGGCTGTCGCTGGGTAATACAGACTTTCAGCTCCCTCCAAAGATGTTCTATTGGGTTCAGGTCTGGAGACTGGCTAGGCCACTCCAGGACCTTGAGATGCTTCTTACGGAGCCACTCCTTAGTTGCCCTGGCTGTGTGTTTTGGGTCATTGTCATGCTGGAAGACCCAGCCACGACCCATCTTCAATGCTCTTACTGAGGGAAGGAGGTTGTTGGCCAAGATCTCGCAATACATGGCCCCATCCATCCTCCCCTCAATACGGTGCAGTCGTCCTGTCCCCTTTGCAGAAAAGCATCCCCAAAGAATGATGTTTCCACCTCCATGCTTCACGGTTGGGATGGTGTTCTTGGGGTTGTACTCATCCTTCTTCTTCCTCCAAACACTGCGAGTGGAGTTTAGACCAAAAAGCTATATTTTTGTCTCATCAGACCACATGACCTTCTCCCATTCCTCCTCTGGATCATCCAGATGGTCATTGGCAAACTTCAGATGGGCCTGGACATGCGCTGGCTTGAGCAGGGGGACCTTGCGTGCACTGCAAGATGTTAATCCATGACGGCGTAGTGTGTTACTAATGGTTTTCTTTGAGACTGTGGTCCCAGCTCTCTTCAGGTCATTGACCAGGTCCTGCCGTGTAGTTCTGGGCTGATCCCTTACCTTCCTCATGATCATTGATGCCCCACGAGGTGAGATCTTGCATGGAGCCCCAGACCGAGGGTGATTGACCGTCATCTTGAACTTCTTCCATTTTCTAATAATTGTGCCAACAGTTGTTGCCTTCTCACCAAGCTGCTTGCCTATTGTCTTGTAGCCCATCCCAGCCTTGTGCAGGCCTACAATTTTATCCCTGATGTCCTTACACAGCTCTCTGGTCTTGGCCATTGTGGAGAGGTGGGAGTCTGTTTGATTGAGTGTGTGGACATGTGTCTTTTATACAGGTAACGAGTTCAAACAGGTGCAGTTAATACAGGTAATGAGTGGAGAACAGGAGGGCTTCTTAAAGAAAAACTAACAGGTCTGTGAGAGCCGGAATTCTTACTGGTTGGTAGGTGATCAAATACTTATGTCATGCAATAAAATGCAAATTAATTACTTAAAAATCATACAATGTGATTTTCTGGATTTTTGTTTTAGATTCCGTCTCTCACAGTTGAAGTGTACCTATGATAAAAATTACAGACCTCTACATGCTTTGTAAGTGGGAAAACCTGCAAAATCGGCAGTGTATCAAATACTTGTTCTCCCCACTGTATATACACCTGTTCTGAAAGGCCCCAGAGTCTGCCACATCACTAGGAAAGGGGCACCACCAAGAAAGCGGCGCCATGAATTCCAAGGAGCTCTCCAAACAGGTCTGGGACAAAGTTGTGGAGAAGTTCAGATCAGGGTTGGGTTATAAAAAAAGATCAGAAACTTTGAACATCCTACGGAGCACCATTAAATCCATTATAAAAAAATTGAAAGAATATGGCACCACAACAAACCTGCCAAGAGAGGGCCGCCCACCAAAACTCATGGACCAGGCAAGGAGGGCATTAATCAGAGAGGCAACAAAGAGACAAAAGATAACACTGAAGGAGCTGCAAAGCTCCACAGTGGAGATTGGAGTATCTGTTCATAGGACCACTTTAAGCCGTACACTCCACAGAGCTGGGCTTTACGGAAGAGTGGCAAGAAAAAAGCCATTGCTTAAAGAAAAAAATAAGCAAACACGTTTGGTGTTCACCAAAAGGCATTGGGAGACTCCCCAAACCTATGGAAGAACGTACTCTGGTCAGATGAGACTAAAATTTAGCTTTTTGGCAATCAAGGAAAACACTTTGTCTGGCGCAAACCCAACACCTCTCATCACCCCGAGAACACCATCCCCACAGTGAAGCATGGTGGTGTTAGCATCATGCTGTGGGGATGTTTTTCATCGGCAGGGACTGGGAAACTGGTCAGAATTGAAGGAATGATAGATGGCGCTATATACAGGGATATTCAAGAGGGAAACCTGTTTCAGTCTTCCAGAGATTTGAGACTGGGACGGAGGTTCACCTTCCAGCAGGACAATGACCCTAAGCATACTGCTAAAGCAACACTTGAGTGGTTAAGGGGAAACACTTAAATGTCTTGGAAGGGCCTAGTCAAAGCCCAGACCTCAATCCAATTGAGAATCTGTGATATGACTTAAAGATTGCTGTACACCAGCGGAACCCATCCAACTTGAAGGAGCTGGAGCAGTTTTGCCTTGAAGAATGGGTAAAGATCCCAGTGGCTAGATGTGCCAAGCTTATAGAGACATACCCCAAGAGACTTGCAGCTGTAATTGCTGCGTGAATAGTTATGCACGCTCAAGTTTTATATTTTTGTGTCTTATTTCTTGTTTGTTTCACAATAAAAAATATTGTGCATCTTCAAAGTGGTAGGCATGTTGTGTAAAATGTTGTTTAATTCCAGGTTGTAAGGCAACAAAATAGGAAAAATGGGGGGTGAATACTTTCGCAAGCCACTGTATATATAAATACATACACATACATCCCGGAGGGGATGGCTGCAGTTTTATGGACTCTTAACCAACCGTGCTATTTTGTGTGTCTTTTCGCATTGTTTGTAACTTATTTCGTACATAATGTTGCTGCTACCATCTCTTATGATCGAAAAGATCTTCTGGACATCAGAACAGCAATTACTCACCTTGAGCTGGACGAATAATTGTTCTTTAATGATTCTGACGAGAGGGATTTGCCCCAGACACCCGACAGGGCCCTCATCGCTGTCATTCTCAGTAGAAAGAAAAGGAGATATCGCAGAAGGAGATAGGGGTGCCTGGTATGGAGCCGACAAGTGGCTAATCTGCCTTTGCCATCGATACTATTGGCCAATTTACAATCGCTTGATAATAAAGTGGACGAACTACAAGCACGTATATCCTACCAACGGGACATTAAAAACTGTAATATCTTATGTTTCACCGAGTCGGCGGCGGGTTATACACTGTATCGGTAGGATAGAACAGCAGCCTCTGGTAAGACAAGGGGTGGCGGTCTATGTATATTTGTAAACAACAGCTGGTGCATGATATCTAAGGAAGACTCAAGGTTTTGCTACCCTGAGGTAGAGTATCGCATGATAAGCTGTAGACCACACTATCTACCAAGAGAGTTTATCTATATTCTTCGTAGCTGTCTATTTACCATCACAAACCGATGCTGGCACTAAGACCGCACTCAATGAGGCGGCGCTCCTAGTGGCCGGGGGCTTTGATGCAGGGAAACTTAAATACATTTTCTCATTTCTACCAGCATGTTAAATGTGCAACCAGAGGGGAAAAAATACCACCTTTACTCCACACACAGAGATGCGTACAAAGCTCTCCCTCACCCTCCATTTGGCAAATCTGATCATAATTCTATCCTCCTGAACACAACTGATTGGCTCAAACGCATTAAGAAGGAAAGAAATTCCACAAATGAACTTTTAAGAAGGCACACCTGTTAATTGAAATGCATTCCAGGTGACTACCTCATGAAGCTGGTTGAGAGAATGCCAAGAGTGTGCAAATCTGTCATCAAGGCAAAGGGTGGCTATTTGAAGAATCAAATATAAAATATGTTTTGATTTGTTTAACACTTTTTTGGTTACTACATCATTACATACAGTTGAAGTCGGAAGTTTACATACACTTAGGTTGGTGTCAATCATTTTTCAACCACTCCACACATTTCTTGTTAACAAACTATAGTTTTGGCAAGTCGGTTAGGACACCTACTTTGTGCATGACACAAGTAATTTTTCCAACAATTCTTTACAGACAGATTATTTCACTTATAATTCACTGTATCACAATTCCAGTGGGTGACAAGTTTACATACTGTCACGATTTAACTAGATATGAACCCAAATGCAGACAACTACACCGAGCCAGAGAAGGTTTAACAGGTTTATTTACAAAAGTTCAATTTGTCCAGGTTTCCAATAATAGGGGAAGAGCAAGTCCAGGTTAACAGGGAGGGTAACAGATCCAGGTTCAGAGCAGGAGTGGTACCGTAACGTCCTAGTGTCCGTGGTGAGTCCAAAAGGAAGGTCCGGTAGTGGTAAGCAGGATGGTGGTGGCAGGAGTGAAGCGGAGGCAGGAGTCAGGTTCCAATAATCTGTGGCACAGGAGAAAAGTAACTAGAACAGGCCAAAAACACAAAGGGCAAAAACAAGCAGGTTGAGTCAACAGCGAAACTAACATGGTAGTCTTGACTATGATCTGACGATGAGTGGCAAGTTTGACCGGGTCTTAAAGGCTGAGGTGATTATGGTGAATGAGCTGCAGCTGGAACCCTGACTCCCGCACACCAGACTTCACTCCTGCAATCAAGGACAGACAGAGGGGAGGGAGAGAGCAGAGAGAGAGCTACCTAGCAGCAGTAGGCCTAACACATACACTAAGTTGACTGTGCATTTAAACAGCTTGGAAAATTCCAGAAAATGATGTCATGGCTTTAGAAGCTTCTGATAGGCTAATTGACATCATTTAAGTCAATTGGATGTGTACCTGTGGATGTATTTCAAGGCCTACCTTCAAACTCAGTGCCTCTTTGTTTGACATCATAGGAAAATCAAAAGAAATCAGCCAGGACCTCAGAAAAAAAATTGTAGACCTCCGCAAGTCTGGTTCATCCTTGGGAGCAATTTCCAAACGCCTAAAGGTACCACGTTCATCTGTACAAACAATAGTACGCAAGTATAAACACCTTGGGACCACGTAGCCGTCATACCGCTCAGTAAGGAGACGCGTTCTGTCTCCTAGAGATGAACGTACTTTGGTGCGAAAAGTGCAAATCAATCCCAGAACAACAGCAAAGGACCTTGTGAAGATGCTGGAGGAAATAGGTATAAAAGTATCTATATCCACAGTAAAACGTGTCCAATATCGACATAACCTGAAAGGCCGCTCAGCAAGGAAGAAGCCACTGCTCCAAAACCGCCATAAAAAAGCCAGACTACAGTTTGCAACTGCACATAGGGGCAAAGATCGTACTTTTTGGAGAAATGTCCTCTGGTCTGATGAAACAAAAATAGAACTGTTTGGCCATAATAACCATCGTTATGTTTGGAGGAAAAAGGTGGTTGCTTGCAAGCCGAAGAACACCATCCCAACCGTGAAGCACGGGGGTGGCAGCATCATGCTTTGGGGGTACTTTGCTGCATGAGGGACTGGTGCACTTCACAAAATAGATGGCATCGTGAGGAAGGAAAATTATGTGGATATATTGAAGCAACATCTCAAGACATCAGTCAGGAAGTTAAAGCTTGGTCGCAAATGGATCTTCCAAATGGACAATGACCCCAAGCAGACTTCCAAAGTTGTAGAAAATGGCTTAAGGACAACAAAGTCAAGGTATTGGAGTGGCCATCACAAAGCCCTGACCTCAATCCTATAGAAAATGTGTGGGCAGAACTGAAAAAGCGTGTGAGAGCAAGGAGGCCTACAAACCTGACTCAGTTACACCAGCTCTGTCAGGAGGAATGGGCCAAAATTCACCCAACTTATTGTGGGAAGCTTGTGGAAGGCTACCCAAAACGTTTGACCCAGTTTAAACAATTTAAAGGCAATGCTACCAAATACTAATTGTGTGTACGTAAACTTCTGACCCACAGGGAATGTGATGAAATAAATAAAAGCTCAAATAAATAATTCTCTCTATTATTATTCTGACATTTCACATTCTTAAAATAAAGTGGTGATCCTAACTGACCTATGACAGGGAATATTTACTAGGATTAAATGTCAGGAATTGTGAAAAACTAAGTTTAAATGTATTTGGCTAAGGTGTATGTAAACTTCCGACTTCAACTGTATGTGTTGTTTCATAGTTTTGATGTCTTCCCTATTATTCTACAATGTACAAATAAAGAAAAACCCTTGAATGAGTAGGTGTTCTAAAACTTTTGACCGTTAGTGTAGTGTCTCACATTATTAACTGATTGAAACACTCCTTTAATATACACTACAAAAGTAAGTGGATACCTGCTTCCATTCAGCCACAAGAGCATTAGTGAGGTCGAGCGCTGATGTTGGGGGCGATTAGGCCTGGCTCGCAGTCGGTGTTCCAATTCATCCCAAAGGTGTTTGATGGGGTTCAGGTCAGGGCTCTATGCAGGCCAGTCAAGTTCTTCCACTCCGATCTCGACAAACCATTTCTGTATGGACCTCGCTTTGTGTACAGCGGCATGTATAATGCTGAAACAGGAAAAGGCCTTCCCCAAACTGTTGCCACAAAGTTGGAAGCACAGAATCATCTAGAATGTCATTGTATGCTGTAGCGTTAAGATGTCTCTTCACTGGAACTAAGGGGCCTAGCCCGAACCATGAAAAACAGCCCCAGACCATTAATCCTCCTCCACCAAACTTTACAGTTGGCACTATGCATTGGGGCAGGTAGCATTCTCCTGGCGTCCGCCAAACCCAGATTTTTCCGTTGGACTGCCAGATGGTGAAGCGTGATTCATCACTCCAGAGAACGCGTTTCCACTGCTCCAGAGTCCAATGGCGGCGAGCTTTACACCACTCCAGACAACGCTTGGCATTGCGCATGGTGATCTTAGGCTTGTGTGCGGCTGCTCGGCCATGGAAACCCATTTCATGAAGCTCCCGACTAACAGTTATTGTGGTGACGTAGCTTCCAGAGGCAGTTTGGAACTCGGTAGTGAGTGTTGCTACCGAGGACAGACAATTTTTACCTGCTATTGCCTTCAGCACTCTGCGGTTCCGTTCTGTGACCTTGTGTGGACTACCACTTCTCAGCTGAGCCGTTGTTGCTCCTAGACGTTTCCACTTCACAATAACAGCACTTACGGTTGACCGGGGCAGGGCAGAAATTTGACGAACTGACTTGTTGGAAAGGTGGCAACCTGTGACACTTAGCTCGTCGGTAGAGGCCATTCTACTGCTAATGTTTGTCTATGGAGATTGCATGGCTGTGTGCTCGATTTTACACACCTGCGGCTGAAATGGCCAAATCCACTAATTTGAAGGGGTGTCCACATACTTTTGGCCATGTACTGTATGTTTCATACATTCCTGTAATGCTACTGCCAAAATATTTTGCCTGACTCTTCATCATAGAATCAAAGTAATGTGAAGCTAGCATAGCTAAAGCTAACAGCAATAACTGCCTGGTCTTTGGAGATTAAATTCTAGAATTTTTAGGCTATGTAATTACAGAGGATTTTGGAAATAATTATGGTCTATTGGCTGTTCTGACACAGTGTCCTAAAAGCAGTTGTTAATGAAAATGAATGTGTTCACTGTTTCAGCATTCTCTCCTCTCTCCTCCCACCATGCATTTCACAGCAACAGGAGACCCGCTTTTTTGGCTTCAGAAACTCCATCACCATAGCAACAGTCTTAAATACCACTTAAAGGGAAAATTATTCTCTATTATTAGACATGTTCTTGTACAAAAATATGCATTTAATCTCTGAGTACAAAAACAAAGCCTATTTCTGATCCCTTTGATGTCAATAAGGAAATGAAAGGGTTGGTGTTGAGTCACTGGTTGGTTTTGTTTTTGTGAATGAGGCTTTCAGGCAGTTTAAGTACTGTTTCACAGCATTTTAAATGTCACACAGTCCTCTTATATTAATTAATTTCTCCTTCTGAATGAACTTGGGAAAACTTCAATTTAAGTTTTCTTTATGACACGTTCATAACAGTATCATAACAAACTGTATCTGACACACTATATAGAATGAGTTGCACTCTAAGCCAAATGGTTTGTTCGTCGTGATGCATTCTAACCTAGCGGTCGGCTTTCTGTTGTCTCATGCCACTGCTTTTCACATTCTGACCAAAGTGCAGTGTGGGTATCGTAAGCTAACGACGCAATTACCAGTGCAAGGGCAATGTGGAGGCTTCAATAGAATAGATCTCTGATGCAGCTCCTGCTTGTCAAGGTTACAGGAAACTTCTGTGTCAATGGGAACAGTACGCTGTACAGATAATGACAATTTTAGAGCAAAATAACATTGACTCCATGTTATCTGTGCTTTTTAAGTAACACCTGTAATTAAATGGTGCTACTTCACATTCTATGTCTGTCTTTTTATGCATGAAGTATTACCTCTCTCTCTTTCTCTCTTTCCCTCGCTCTCTGGCTCCATTGTTGCACATACAGTTTGAGTTTGTCAGGTTGTGTGTATGTGCAGTAACTCTAACACAGCTGTGAAATGTATTCTACAGGGTATTGAGAAAGTTCCAGTACCTGCTGAACCCCAGGCAGGTGTACAGTCTGGACCGAGGGGGACCCATGGTGGGGTAAGACCAATTCATCACTATAGACCCATGGTGGGGTAAGACCAATTAATCACTATAGACCCATGGTGGGGTAAGACTAATTCATCACTATAGACCCATGGTGGGGTAAGACTAATTCATCACTATAGACCCATGGTGGGGTAAGACTAATTCATCACTATAGACCAATGGTGGGGTAAGACTAATTCAATACTATAGACCCATGGTGGGGTAAGGCTAATTCATCACTATAGACCCATGGTGGGGTAAGACTAATGAATCACTATAGACCCATGGTGGGGTACGGCTAATGAATCACTATATACCCATGGTGGGGTACGGCTAATGAATCACTATATACCCATGGTGTGGTCACAATATAGATACAGCCCTTGTTCTGAGATTTGATCTATACAGAAAATAGTTAAAAATTATATGTGTAGAACAAGGTTCCCCAACTGTCCCGTGGGTGGTCTCATTTGGCCCGCAAGTTTTTTGTAAAAAAAAAGAAAAAAGAAAATGTCAATATTTGTATTTTAATTTTTCATTGTTGGAGATAAAAGACTGTGAAAACACCAGGAAATCAGATCCAAGTGATTTTAATTGTACACTACTGGTCAAAAGTTTTAGAACACCTACTCATTCAAGGGTTTTTCTTTATTTTCTACAATGTAGAAAATAGTAAAATAAAAAAAAACCTGGAATGAGTAGGTGTGTCTAAACTTTTGACTAGTACTGTATTTGGTAGTAGAGTAGAGGCCTGAGGGCACACACTTAATATGTTGTGAAATCTGTTCTGAATGTATTGTAATGTTTTTAAAATGTATAACTGCCTTAATTTTGCTGGACCCCAGGAAGAGTAGCTGCTGCCTTGGTAGCAGCTAATGGGGATCCATAATAAATACAAAGTAGAAAAAAATACAAAAGTAATTAAGTGTGCCACAAAAGTATTGCCATAAAAAAAAATTGGGTTGAAAGACTGAAAATTGAGTAATTGTTAGCGAAATTCTCGAAATCTTGGACCCACGCAAAGTTGTTCTATTTGGAATTTTCTTCTGTCCCAGATGGAACTTGGTTGTGCAACAGAATACAGGCCAGGGTTCACTGGGGTTCAACATGTATTTTTACTGAACACAACATTGGCAGTAAGCTACTGCACCATCAGACTCTATCTTCTCTCCTCGACCCTATATCTACCCCATATCCTCTATTCTCCATTAATTCAGCTGCTCTGCTTTAGAGGTCAAGAGGTCTTAAAAGCCTGTGGAACCACTGTGTTAGAAACAGTACATGTAAACAAGGACATGCGCACACACACACAAAAACACACACACACTTCACCCACTTGACACACAAACACGCACACACTTCACACACTTGACACACAAACACACACACACTTCACCTACATGACATACAAACACACACCCGATATGCACATCATCCTAGCCAGAGGATACCTTGTACCTTGGTTGAGTTGTGCAATATGGAACAGTTCATTCGGGAGAAATGCCCTACACAGCAACAACAAACATGAATGCTATCTCCTGAGAGTGGCCAAGTTCTTCTATCCCTGCCTCCCCCTCCCCCCCCTCCCCCTCCCCCTCCCCCTCCCCCTGGCTCCCCCTCCTACTCCCCCTGCCTCCCCTTCCTACTCCCCCTGCCTCCCCCTGGTAGTTGTTATTAGTCGTGATAAGTTGCACTACCTTTCATAACGAGAGCAGTGAAGAAACTGGCGATGGTGTGTATGAGGTAGTAGGATGGAGGGGAACAGTGGTTTGTGCATATGCTGTTTTATTGTCATTTAATGTCAACCATCTTTGAGAGTTGAATCTTAATGAGGGAATAGCTTGGTTATGAAAGTGATGATGCTTGACAGACAACCATACAGTATATCATCAGCACATGGACGTGTGGCGGATCAATCTGATATTATGACAGCCAAGTTATCTTTTTTAATCTTTCTTCATTCTCTTCTCTTGTGTTACTCCTCCATTGTTGGCCATACGTACAACACTTACAAAGGCATATTTATCAGGCCATTATGGATACATATCTCAATATGTGCAGCTAAAGACAGGCCTAATTTAGTCTGGCTGTATAGCATAGCAGACAGGGTAAATATAGACCCAGACAAGTTCTCCAGCGCCGTTACCATGGGCACCATGGCAACAGCCTCAGTCACCACCAGGCTTTTAGACAAGTGGCAGAATGAAGGTGAGTGATTTGTTTAGAGAATACAATTAGTTGTTTTGTGTAGATTAAGAGTGAGGTCTCTCTCATTGTTCCTGTTAATGCAGATCCTCATTTGGCCCTGTTGTTGATACACTTTCTCCAACTAAGCCCACATGCATAAAACATTGTCACGAATTGTCAAGCCTCATGCGGTTAGGTTAAAGGATATTAATGTTTAATGTTGACGTGCAACTGTTTTGTTAAATGTGATACATACCCAGATCGGTGCTGTAGCTACAGATTTCCCTGAAGTGCTGGCATGCTGGTGTTGTGCATCACTGAGCGTTAGTGCAGTTCACCTCAATGACCAGGTGAGACAGCTGTCTGTCACACTGGTGTCACCAGCCTTGTCAGTGGTACGCACACACACACACACACACACACACACACACACACACACACACACACACACACACACACACACACACACACACACACACACACACACACACACACACACACACACACACACACACACACACACACACACACACACACACACACACACACACGCACGCATGCACACACACAGCACACGCATGAACAGATATGTGTGTCATGCATGCACACACACAGGCATACATGGGCACAGGCACACACACACACACACCCACACACCCACACACCAGTGTGATGTTTGCACCGCAGCTGTTTTTTGGGGACAGATGAAAGCCCCTGTCAACACCTTTGTCCTGGCCCAGATGAAAGGTCCCTTTGAAGGTGACACTCTCTGGCCAGGCACCAGTCACTTTAATGCATCTCTCGCTCTCTCTCTGTCTCTGTCAATTCAATTCAATTCAAAGGGCTTTATTGGGAAACATATGGGAAACATATGTTTACATTGTCAAAGCAAGTGAAATAGAGAATAAACAAAAGTTAAATAAACAATAAAACATTTACAGTAAACATTACACTCACAAAAGTTCCAAAGGAATAGAGACATTTCAAATGTCATATTATGGCTATATACAGTGTTGTAACAATGTGCAAATAGTTAAAGTACAAAAGGGAAAATAAATCAACATAAATATTCACAATGGTGTTTGTTCTTCACTGGTTGCCCTTTTCTTGAGGCAACAGGTCAAAATTATTGCTGCTGTGATGGCACACTGTGGTATTTCACCCAATAGATATGGGAGTTGATCAAAATTGGATTTGTATTTCAAATTCTTTGTGGGTCTGTGTAATCTGAGGGAAATGTGTGTCTCTAATATGGTCATACTGTCACGATCGTTATATGGAGTAGACCAAGGCGCAGCGTGATGAACGAACATGTTTATTTATCTTTAGTGATAAATACGGACAATAAACAAAACAACAAACGATACGTGCAGTCCTACGGTTTAACACAACCGACACGGAACAAACCAAACGGAAACAAGATCCCACAAACACAAAGGGAAAACAGACAGTTTAAATATGGTTCCCAATCAGAGACAACCAGCCACAGCTGACACTCGTTGCCTCTGATTGAGAACCACACTGGCCAACATAGAAATACAATACTAGAACACGACATAGAAACACAAACACATAGAAACTACACACCCTGGCTCAAAATATAGAGTCCCCAGAGCCAGGGTGTGACACATACATTTGACAGGAGGTTAGGAAGTGCAGCTCAGTTTCCACCTAATTTTGTGGGCAGTGTGCACATAGTCAAAGCTTTCCTTAATTTTGGATCAGTCACAGTAGGTCAGGTATTCTGCCACTGTGTACTCTCTGTTAATGGCCAAATAGCATTCTATATGTTTGTTTTCTCAGAATTTATCTGGGTCTAATTGTGTTGCTGTCCTGGGGCTCTGGGGTTTGTATTTGTGAACAGAGCCCCTGGAACAGCTTGCTTAGGGGACTTTTCTTCAGGTTCATCTCTCTGTAGGTGATGGCTTTGTTATGGAAGGTTTGGGAATCGCTTCCTCTTAGGTGGTTATAGTATTGAACGTCTCTTTTCTGGATTTTGATAATTAGCGGGTATCTGCCTAATTCTGCTCTGCATGCATTATTTGGTGTTTTATGTTGTACAAGGAGGATATTTTTGCAGAGTTCTGCATGCAGAGTCTCAATTTGGTGTTTGTCCCATTTTGTGAATTCTTGGTTTGTGAGCGGACCCCAGACTTGACAACCATGAAAGGCAATGGGTTCTATAACGGATTCAAGTATTTTTAGCCAGATTCTAATTGGTATGTCGAATGTTATGTTCCTTTTGACGGCATAGAAGGCCCTTCTTGCCTTGTCTCTCAGATCGTTCACAGCTTTGTGGAAGTTACCTGTGGCACTGATGTTTAGGCCTAGGTATGTATAGTTTTTTTGTGTGCTCTAGGGCAACGGTGTCTAGATGGAATTTGTATTTGTGGTCCTGGCAACTAGATATTTTTGTCTTACTGAGATTTACTGTCAGGGCCCACGTCTGACAGAATCTGTGCAGAAGATCTAGGTGCTGCTGTAGGCCCTCCTTGGTTGGGGACAGAAGCACCAGATCATCAGCAAACAGTAGATATTTGACTTCAGATTCTAGTAGGGTGAGACCAGATGCTGCAGACTGTTCTAGCACCCTCGCCAATTCATTGATATATATGTTGAAGAGGGTGGGGCTCAAGCTGCATTCCTATCTCACCCCCCGGCCCTGTGGAAATAAATGTGCGTGTTTTTTGCCAATTTTAACAGCACACTTGTTGTTTGTGTACATGGATTTTATAATGTTGTATGTTTTTCCCCCAACACTGCTTTCCATCAATTTGTATAGCAGACCCTCATGCCAAATTGAATCAAAAGCTTTTTTGAAATCAACAAAGCATGAGAAGACTTTGCCTTTGTTTTGGTTTGTTTGTTTGTCAATTAGGGTGTGCAGGGTGAATATGTGGTCTGTCGTACGGTAATTTGATAAAAAGCCAATTTGACATTTGCTCAGTATGTTGTTTTCACTGAGTAAATGTACGAGTCTGCTGTTAATGATAATGCAGAGGATTTTCCCAAGGTTGCTGTTGACGCATATCTTTGTTATAGAGTCAAAAAGATTGGAGAAGTGGTTTATCTATACATCTCTGTTTTGGATAGATAACTCCTCGTGTTGTTGTTTGTTTAGTGTGTTCCAATTTTCCCAGAAGTGGTTCGATTCTATGGATTCTTCAGTTACATTGAGCTGATTTCGGACTTATTTTTCCGTAGTGTATTGCTGTATTGTCTCTCTCTCTGTGTGTGTGTGTGTGTGTGTGTGTGTGTGTGTGTGTGTGTGTACTTGTATATTTACGTATTTATGTATTTATGTCTTCCCAGGCTCAACTTCTTCCATGATGTCCCTGATTTCCAGGTGCTGGCGTGTGGAGGGGACGGGACAGTGGGATGGATCTTAGACTGCATTGGTGTGTCTTAATTCTATTGGATTAAACCCATGTATTATACATGAACACAGTCAAATCTGTCCACCTTTATAGCTGTGAGTGTGTGTGTGTGTGCCTGATAAGCATAGGAGACTATAACACTATACTGTACAGTACTCTGGTTAAACCTTAATGTTTTTCTCCGAATTCTAATCATTATCTTATCGTTATCTGTCCATCTGCAGACAAGGCCAACTTCGCAAAAGATCCCCCTGTGGCTATCCTCCCTCTGGGCACAGGGAACGACCTGGCAAGATGCCTACGCTGGGGCGGAGGTGAGAAGCTGTGTGTGTGTGTGTGTGTGTGTGTATGTATGTGTGAGTGTGTGTGTACATAGATCGCAGTGCGAGTATTCTTTTACTTCTACCTAATCACTGAAAGCTCCCATCAGCAATATTTTCCTCAATATCTTCACAATGCACCTGTCGTGTCCTCGTGGTTCTAAACCAGTGAAGGCTGGTGGGAGGAGCTATAGGAGGACAGGCTCATTGTAATGGCTGGAATGGAATTAATGGAACGGTATCAAACACATCACACATATGGAAACCACATTTGACTCCGTTCCATGAATTCCATTCCAGCCATTACAATGAGCCCTCCTCCTATAGCTCCTCCCACCAGCTTCCACTGTTCTAAACCCATCCTCATAGAGCTAATTTGAAAGTGTTCTATAATGCAAAGCAGAGTTCCTATATAATCCCTGCTCGCCATTGGCTGGGCCTGTTTTTGGGCCAATGATTGCGACCCTGATTATGACAGACTGCTTGACCTGACCCTGGCTTGTGTAGAGTAAAGACCAACCGAGCACTTTAGCCAGGCAGCAGGCTTATGATCTGATATTTGTAAACTAAATGGACAGTTAGTTCCCAGGGGCTTTTCGACCAAGCACCAGTTTAATATATTATCTTCTCGAAAAATCTTTTAAAAGCATCTGGATTGTTTCTGTGAAGACATTAAGTTTTATGACCATATTTACAGATAGTACAGTAGTAGATTCAGAAGCTGGAACTGTGAGTGACGTACTGTATCACAGTGGTCTGTGTGTAGAAACATATTGCACATGCTTTTTAATTCCTAGCATAGTAAACCAATCATCCAAATTGTGTTTGGTGACAGAATCTCCTATCGATCTCCTGTTAACTGGCAGATGTTATACGATAGATGTTATGGGCCTGTTTTGTAACTATATAAGTCAGGACTGGGCTGTATGTAAGTCTATGTGTGCATCACGTATAGTGAAATATGCTTGTATGCAAACATGAAAGAGCATGCTATTGTGTCATAAGTAGTCGGTGAGCTTTTTGTTCAATCTTCAGTGTATAAAGTAGGCTAATTGGCTTCTTACATTACATCATCATTGCTTTTTCCCTCTGTGATTTAGAAAATGCTCAGACTGTTGGAGAGCACGTGAGGGGAAATGCGTGTCATCACACGGGCCATGGCTCTGTGTCAACATCCCCTGATGCAGACCTGGGTTCACATAGTTTTTGAAAAATCAAGCACAGTTCCATTATTTGAAAGATTTCAAATACTAGGTGAACCCAGGTCTGGAGCACAGAAGGGGGAACACGTGTCATCACACATGAACCCTGGCTCTCAGGACGGGTCGCCATGTGAGTGTTAAAGTCCCCTGGTGCTCTGAGTGATGGGTCCTCATTAGACACTCACGCCTCCATGACAGCCACTGGTGTAACGCTAACACCCCGGCCCACCTCTCAGCAGTACTGATCACAGACATCATTAGAGTCATTGTTGTTCAGACCCACTTGGTCTCCAACACAGAGGACCCGCTTACCGGAGCCCGCCAGGGGTTGGGGGTTCTATCCCATGGCACAGTATAATGATGACCCTATTGTGTATGCCTCTACTCTCTACTTCTACACTCTAAAAAATGCTAGGTTGTTTGGTTGACTCAACTGCTGGGTTGTTTGGTTGACCCAACTGCTGGGTTGTTTGGTTGACCCAACTGCTGGGTTGCAGGCGTTGGTTCACTTGGTTTGTTGATGCTGGGTTATTGAGACGTGACCCAGCGGATCAGATCAGAAGACTAGAGGCAAGTTTAGTAGGGGAGTGGCTTTCAGATAGTTATTTTTAGCCAACCCTAAGAGTAAATGTCATTCATGTTCATCTATTCTGTTGTATAGTTATCACATGTTAAGGTTGAACATTGACATTTTTGTAGCTTCAATCAGGCTTACAGAAGTGTATGAATTGCCTTAAAGCTAATGCATATCCCATTGTTGGGAAAGATACCACCTTATTATAATATGTAATAAGTAATCGTAACATTCTAGAAGAATACAAGACAAAGGAGATGATCGTGGACTACAGGAAAAGGAGGGCCGAGCACGCCCCCATTCTCATCGACAGGGCTGTAGTGGAAGCAGGTTGAGAGCTTCAAGTTCCTTGGTGTCCACATCACCAACAAACTATCATGGTCCAAACACACCAAGACAGTCATGAAGAGGGCACAACAACGCCTATTCCCCCTCAGGAGACTGAAAAGATTTGGCATGGGTCCTCAGATCTGCTGCTACTCGCTGTTTATTATCTATGCATAGACACTTTACCCCTACCTACATGTACATATTACCTCAATTACCTTGACTAACCTGTACCCTGCACATTGACTCGGTACCGGTACCCCCTGTATATAGCCTCATTACTCTTATTTTATTGTTGGTCCTTTTTATTTTATTTTTACTTTAGTTTATTTAGTAAATATTTTCTTAAATCTTAGTTTTCTTAAAACTGCATTGTTGGTTAAGTAAGCATTTCACGGTAAGGTCTACACCTGTTGTATTCGGCACATGTGACAAATAAAAATTGATTTGATTTTGGATTTGATTTGAATGTGTAAAATGCAAAAAAAAATGATATTTTAATTGCAGTATGTAAACTTAACATGATGAAAAGGAATGACATTTACTCTCATGGGTGGCCAATAACATCTATCTGTAAGCCACGCCTCTTGAAATAACCATAGGATTACATTAAGAAAGACCCAGCTGCATGTCAACCCAGCATGACAGTAAAAAATACCTAACTGATAATTAAATTAAACCATGTTTGGATAATTACCAACAACCCAACATGTTGGGTTATTCACACAACTGGCTGGGTCAAAATAACCCAACGTGTGTTATGTCCAATATTTACCCAGTGCTGGGTTTCCAAAGAACCCAAATTGGGTTGTTTTTAACCCAGCATTTTTCAGTGTACCAACACTCTCTCTCAGAGAGGTCCCGTTCTATCCCGTACCACAGTTTAATGATGGGTATTTTGTGTACGCCCATACCGTCTACCAACAGTCTGTCTCAAAGAGGCCTGGAGGTTACATTTACATTTTAGAGCGACTTACAGTTAGTGAATACATATATATTATTTTTTTATACTGGCCCCCCGTGGGAAACGAACCCACAACCCTGGCGTTGCAAACGCCATGCTCTATCAACTGAGCTACATCCCTGCCGGCCATTCCCTCCCCTACCCTGGACGATGCTGGGCCAATTATGCGCCGCCCATGAGTCTCCCGGTCGCGGCCGGCTGCGACAGAGCCTGGATTCGAACCAGGATCTCTAGTGGCACAGTTAGCACTGCGATGCAGTGCCTTAGACCACTGCGCCACTCAGGAGTTACGAGTTCTATCCCGTGGCAGTGTACTTACTTATTAACTCCTCTTCATCCCCTCTGGGACAAACGGCCACAATGATGACTCTATTGTGTACACCCATACTGTCTGCCATTAGGCTGTTTTGTCAGTCGCAGTGTGAGGGCTTCAGATGTACTCCCTTGTCACAACTCAATCTTAGTTTTCTCTTTGCTTGCTTCTAGTAATCTAAGGCCTCTGACCTCACGTCAAATGGAATACAGAAAGCACTATGCAACTTGATGAATACTAGATCTTAATCAATTTATAAAACTCGTTCTGAGAGCCGGGTCTGACAGTGTGGGTGATCTTAGTGTGGACGACCTTAGTGTGGGTGACCTTAGTGCGGGTGCAGTGGCGATTTTAGCATGTAAATATTGGTGGGGCAAAAAAATAAAATAAATGTGGGATGCATGCCAGCAAAGCCACTACACAACACAACACTAAACAATACATTAATTGCACTATAACGGTGACAAACAGTGCCCACAAACTGTTAGGACCTACATAAAGCTGTCCCAACAGCAGAGTCCCAACAGCAGTCCCAACACCTTACTACTGCTACACCTGGCTATCAGCGGAGCCTTGTCTGGCAGCAAAACAGTTCATTCAGCCTCATTTACTGCCTTTAAAAAAACCATAACTGATATGGCTGACTTGCTTAAACAAATGTGGTTTCTACTGATAATTGAGATGTACAAACTATGGCATAAGGGGATGACAAGTGGATAAGAGGCAATCTGTAATTTCGATTAAGACATTAATGAGAGAACCAGGATGGACGTAGTCAATATAACTATTTGTTCAGCACTTTTGAAATGTACAGCTACAGAATTCAGAACATGGGCCGTTTGTCACGCCCTGGCTCTGGGACTCTGTTATGTTGAGCCAGGGTGGGTTGTTTCTATGTGTTTTGTGTGCTAGGTTGTTTATCTAGTTCATGGTGTTTATCTAGTTTATTCAAGCCAATGGTGCGCATCGTCAGCCCGGTCCGGCCCGTCCCTGCTCCCCGCACCAAGCCTGTGGTGCGCGTCGTCAGTCCAGCACAGCCCGTGCCTGTTCCACCGGTGCTCCACTCCGGAGCTAGAGCAATCCGCTCCACCAGTGTTCAGTCCAGCTCCGGCCAGCAGGGCCAGACCGGACCAGGGGCGCTTTGGGGGGTTAGAGAGGGAGTGGGGGTCATGCCCGGAGCCGGATCCGCCTCCGAGGAGGAATGCCCACCCGGCCCTCCCCTGTTCGGTTTATGTTTGGCGCGGTCGCAGTCCGCGCCTTTGGGGGGGGGGGTACTGTCACGCCCTGGCTCTGGGACTCTGTTATGTTGAGCCAGGGTGGGTTGTTTCTATGTGTTTTGTGTGCTAGGTTGTTTATCTAGTTCATTTGTTTCTATGTTGGCCGGTGTGGTTCTCAATCAGAGGCAACGAGTGTCAGCTGTTGCTTGTTGTCTCTGATTGGGAACCATACTTAGGCAGCCTGTTTTGCCACAGTGTTTTGTGGGATCTTGTTCCGTGTATGGTTTGTGTCTGTAACCAAGGACTTCACGTATCGTTTTGTTCGTGTGGTGAAATATAATTAAAGTATGTTCGCATTCCACGCTGCGCCTTGGTCCTCTCTGTTCGACGATCGTGACACCGTTCTTACAGTGTTCTCCCTGTACACCAAGTCAGAACCGTAGGATAAATAAAGGGGGCATATAAGCAGACAATGAAAGCTCTTACAATATTCGATGATTACATTTCTAAAAAAGAACAGCACCACCGAGTCAGAACAATTGGCGAAATTAAGAGGTGAAAATAGACCAAATTATTAGGGTGAGGCACATGGGCGAGGCACATGGGCTACTAACAGCTTACAATAAACACTTAGTATTACTTTCTTAGCTACAGACAGTCCCTGGCATATTACATAATTTATGCAGCAGCATATAAGACATTTTTGGACTCACCTTGTTGTGCTGTGCTCACTTGAACAGGAAGGTGGCGCGGCGGTCCTTCGTGGGCAAATGTTGTCATCAAAGAGAAAGAGGCAGAATTTACAATTCCGAGTTGGATGACCGTTCAAAATGTATTTTCCCATTGTTGAATTTGCGATTTCCAACTTGTTGTATAATGTTCATGTCCAATGGCCGATGAGCACTTACTTACTCTTCATTATTTCTCTTCATATGACAAGGATTAAAAATGATTTGCCAGTAGATTGTCGACTTGATTCATGATGATGACTGCTAGCTAAGATTTTGAAAGTAAGATGTTGACATGATCAGTCCAATCAAAGCTCCTGTACATATAACGTGATTTGAAGTCATTTTATCTGTGGCCAATGACCTTGAGCCTTGTTTCAAGGGCACTTCTAATGTAACTCTATGGCAGGACCCAAAGGGCTTGAATCTTCGATGTCTACTCTTACTAAGGACTTAGACTTGGCGGTGACGTAGTGTCCCCATGAGTGACAGAACACTGAGCCAATCACGGCACAATGCTCCTATTTTCTGCTGGCTTGCCCCACCTCCACAGAAAGCACTGAGCTAGGCTGAAACACCCGCATTTTGGAGCTACCATACCCAAGAAAACAAAAAAGAGACCATGTTTGTATGCGGCTTTATTAACTCAATGATATATATATATATTTTACATTGTTTGCAAACTGATATGTGACGTATTAATGCCAACATAACATGCAACATGCTTGTATTTTTTTTTTTCAAAAAATATGGCTTTGCCCCACATGCCCTGAATGACGGGTCACCACTGTGCGGGTGACCTTAGTGCGGGTGACCTTAGTGTGGGTGACCTTAGTGTGTGATGGCTGTATCTCCTTGTGATATGTCTCACCCGTCTCTTTGTCCTGTCCTGTAGGTTATGAGGGAGGCAGCCTGCTGAAGTTCCTGCGGGACATAGAACACAGCACAGATATGATGCTTGACCGATGGAACATCGACATCGTCCCTGTAGACAAGGAGGAGAAGGGAGACCCAGTCCCCAACAGCATCGTCAACAACTACTTCTCCATCGGAGTGGTGAGGGAACAGACTATGCACACACAGACTCACCCACACACTCACTCACTCACACTCTGTTTATCAGATTCACCAGGAAATGTTTGTTGACATGCAGAACCAATCACATGCAGAACCAATCACATACAGATCCAATTTTCACCGTCAAATTCTTATCCTTAAAAACACTCACACACACAATCCTACCTGCCTGTCCATTTTCAGATCCAAACATAAGCAGGACATAGGCCCAGTACTATGCCACAGTATGGGATTGCCTATACCAGCAGGAGTTAAACAATTTGCAGAATCACTGGTGGTTTCTTAGCCTCTCAAGCAGGTTAATTACTGTTTCCCCTTTTAAAGGGAAGGAACCAGCATCGCCAAGGTCCCTGTTGCTCAGCAACCCTTTATCTCTCTCCTCACGATCCCTGTGTTGAAACAAACTACCATGAGCTCGCCTCAAACGTAATACACTAGAGGGACCAGAGGGACGAGGTCAAATGAATGCTGTCTCAGTTGTTGTCTTGTTGTCTCTCTGTCAACCCCTGACACTTCAGATGGATGTTTCCTATATCTGTTATTAAAGCTACGGTTGCTTAACTGTAACGTGCCTGCAGCATCTCATTTGAGGGAAACAATCCCTTTTATGGTCTTTCCTGTCTTTATTTTCTTCAAGCCCACCAGGCATCATTGCACGGAAGCCTAAAAATACACACCAGGAGTAGACAGTGGGACTAAGCTGAAGTGTGATTGGTACATAATATGTCTGGACCAATCACAGGTAGGATGAGGACCAGGGAGGAAGGGGCTAACTTGGCAGGGATACCATGCACTACTGTGATGTTATGCAACCCGGCCCCCACTAGTCCCACGACTGCCACATATTCATCAGGTTTCTGCCAAACACACGACTCTACCCTCTTGTTACTGCTGCATTATGGGTACACCCTAGCCAGCTGGTCCCAGATCTGTTTGTACTGTATAGACAACTCCTATGTGCTAATACAGCTAATGCAGCACCAACAGATCAGGGATCAGGAACACTTTCAAAAGTAGCTTACTGGTTTCACTACTTGATCTCATAATGGTCAGCATATTGCTGACAGAACGGAAAGACAACATGCTTTAAATATAATGTGGATTATATCAGCAAATGGCCAAGCCTCTGACCTTTCTATCTAGACAATGGATGTTTCTCCACTATGTGATGCCTGTGTCAGAAGGGCCAGGGGATGCAGGCCAGGGGGTGGCCAGGGGACAATACCCCCTATGGGATTCAGATGTGGACTGGTGGGTGGTAGTGCCAGTGCCAGGATGGTCCACACTTTGGTTACAGCCACTGTCTAACATCTACCTCGGCTGTAGACCCTTTCTAAAGAAGGGCTGGCTACGTTTTAAACTGTTATTGATGATAGAACAGTTATTTACTGTCCATTTACAGTCCACTAAAATGTATCTAAATTCTGTGTTTCTCAGAGGACCTTTTAAGCTCAAATTCTGATCCCTTTAAAGGATTCTGTGTTTATGTAATCTACTTATACCATTGATATTACCATGTTGTAGATGGCGCTAATGATCCAATACAGCATGGCATGGCCCTTACCCAGGGAAACAGATCGCATCGCAGTGACTCCAGCAGTCAGGGACAGATGGCTGCGTATCTGGCCACCAATGACACCTGAGCAAACGAACACTAGAACTGTGACTCAGTCACGCCATATCATGATGTAATCATTGGCGGCCCAGAATCGGGTTCAATATCCATACCCATATTGGGGCAGCGCTTCCTGCCATCACACTCACAGACCTTCCCTTCCCGAAGCCGGGGTTAGGTTGCCATGGCATTGACGCTCTCAAGGCCAATTTTCAAATCTCAACTGTCTGTTTCTTGTTGCAGTAAGTTAATTGTAGATAATATGGTAGTCGTAGTGACATGGAGAACGCTCTAGGCTGGAGATAAAGATGTTTTGTGGTATTGCTATTTTGTTCTCTGCCTCAGATGACTTTGTAATGCTTTTGGGCATCAGTGCTTTGCATTAAGTACACACTTAAGCTTGATCATATTAAATAACAAATGAAATCTAACAATCATACAACCTACAAGAGTCAAACATAAATCAATATTGAAAAGAGCTTCATATAAAATCTTGACCATCATGTATTTTGATCTATGAAATTCCTGTTTAACAACTCTGGTCATTGTCAACTAACTTTGATCTGAATACAATGACGCTGACTGAAGATTGTCTAGAGGAAACCAACGCTTTGATGAGACAGCTTCATGTTAGCCATACTGGATGTCTTTCACTATACAGAGACTGCATTAACATTAACCCTCAGTCATCACTGTAAACACACAGAACAGATGGGAGAGGAGTCTACATCACAGGAGGCTGCTGAGGGGAGGACGGCTCATAATATGCAAGATGGTGTAGCAGTGCGGTCGTGTATTCTGTTGTGTCCTCGTGTAAATAGCCAGTTTTTTTTTAGTTTTTTGTATTTTTTTGTATATATTTCTCTATCTCACTTTCCATCCTTTAACTAAATATACTTTCCTGCAACCCACCTCACCCAATGTGGAACGGATTCTATTATTTATTTATACCTTTTATCAAGAACCTACAGCTGAAACTAGCCAGCTAGCCAGCTAACTAGCTACTTGCTATTAGCCACCGTTAGCGGTCTTCACCACTATCCGTGGCCTGCACTACCTACCAGCCAGCTCTAGCCTGGACAATTATCGGCCAGTCTGCACAGCGTGCTATCGACCCAGAGCATATCGGATTTTCTGCCGGAATCACTGAATCACTGGACCTTAACACCGGATCATCGCAACTAGCTAGCTGCAACCGAATGGCTGTTGTTGGCTAATCACCACTGTCCCGACGCACCAGTTAGCCTTGAGCTAGCCTCGAGCCAGGCCCATCTACCTCACTGTCAACTGGACGGGACCTCCTAGTGTCGACACGGAGCCCCGCCGATCCATCACAACTGATCTGCCGACTTAATCATCTGATGTGGTTTCAACAGGCTTCCCGTTGCGACGACCATTAATTTATTTTTATTTTTATTTAACCTTTATTTAACCAGGTAAGCCAGTTGAGAACAAGTTCTCATTTACAACTGCGACCTGGCCAAGATAAAGCAAAGCAGAGCGATAAAAAACAACAACACAGAGTTACATTTGGGGTAAACAAAACATAAAGTCAAAAATACAACAGAAAAAATATATACAGTGTGTGCAAATGTAGCAAGTTATGGAGGTAAGGCAATAAATAGGCCATAGTGCAAAATAATTACAATTTAGTATTAACACTGGAATGATAGATGTGCAAGAGATTATGTGCAAATAGAGATACTGGGGTGCAAATGAGCAAAATAAATAACAAAATGGGGATGAGGTAGTTGGGTGGGCTAATTTCAGATGGGCTGTGTACAGGTGCAGTGATCGGTAAGGTGCTCTGACAACTGATGCTTAAAGTTAGTGAGGGAGATAAGAGTCTCCAACTTCAGAGATTTTTGCAGTTCGTTCCAGTCATTGGCAGCAGAGAACTGGAAGGAATGGCGGCCAAAGGAGGTGTTGGCTTTGGGGATGACCAGTGAGATATACCTGCTGGAGCGCATACTACGGGTGGGTGTATTTATGGTGACAATGAGCTAAGATAAGGCGGGGATTTGCCTAGCAGTGATTTATAGATGACCTGGAGCCAGTGGGTTTGGCGATGAATATGTAGTGAGGATCAGCCAACAAGAGCGTACAGGTCACAGTGGTGGGTAGTATATGGGGCTTTGGTGACAAAACGGATGGCACTGTGATAGACTACAGTGGGGGAAAAAAGTATTTAGTCAGCCACAAATTGTGCAAGTTCTCCCACTTAAAAAGATGAGAGAGGCCTGTAATTTTCATCATAGGTGTACGTCAACTATGACAGACAAATTGAGAAAAGAAAATCCAGAAAATCACATTGTAGGATTTTTAATGAATTTATTTGCAAATTATGGTGGAAAATAAGTATTTGGTCACCTACAAACAAGCAAGATTTCTGGCTCTCACAGACCTGTAACTTCTTCTTTAAGAGGCTCCTCTGTCCTCCACTCGTTACCTGTATTAATGGTACCTGTTTTAACTTGTTATCAGTATAAAAGACACCTGTCCACAACCTCAAACAGTCACACTCCAAACTCCACTATGGCCAAGACCAAAGAGCTGTCAAAGGACACCAGAAACAAAATTGTACACCTGCACCAGGCTGGGAAGACTGAATCTGCAATAGGTAAGCAGCTTGGTTTGAAGAAATCAACTGGGGCTCCACGCAAGATCTCACCCCGTGGGGTCAAAATGATCACAAGAACGGTGAGCAAAAATCCCAGAACCACACAGGGGGACCTAGTGAATGACCTGCAGAGAGCTGGGACCAAAGTAACAAAGCCTACCATCAGTAACACACTACGCCGCCAGGGACTCAAATCCTGCCGTGCCAGTCGTGTCCCCCTGCTTAAGCCAGTACATGTCCAGGCCAGTCTGAAGTTTGCTAGAGTGCATTTGGATGATCCAGAAGAGGATTGGGAGAATGTCATATGGTCAGATGAAACCAAAATAGAACTTTTTGGTAAAAACTCAACTCGTCGTGTTTGGAGGACAAAGAATGCTGAGTTGCATCCAAAGAACACCATACCTACTGTGAAGCATGGGGGTGGAAACATCATGCTTTGGGGCTGTTTTTCTGCAAAGGGACCAGGACGACTGATCCGTGTAAAGGAAAGAATGAATGGGGCCATGTATCGTGAGATTTTGAGTGAAAACCTCCTTCCATCAGCAAGGGCATTGAAGATGAAACGTGGCTGGGTCTTTCAGCATGACAATGATCCCAAACACACTGCCCGGGCAACGAAGGAGTGGCTTCGTAAGAAGCATTTCAAGGTCCTGGAGTGGCCTAGCCAGTCTCCAGATCTCAACCCCATAGAAAATCTTTGGAGGGAGTTGAAAGTCTGTGTTGCCCAGCGACAGCCCCAAAACATCACTGCTCTAGAGGAGATCTGCATGGAGGAATGGGCCAAAATACCAGCAACAGTGTGTGAAAACCTTGTGAAGACTTACAGAAAACGTTAGACCTGTGTCATTGCCAACAAAGGGTATATAACAAAGTATTGAGAAACTTTTGTTATTGACCAAATACTTATTTTCCACCATAATTTGCAAATAAATTCATTAAAAAATCCTACAATGTGATTTTCTGGAATTTTTTTTCTCATTTTGTCTGTCATAGTTGACGTGTACCTATGATGAAAATTACAGGCCTCTCTCATCTTTTTAAGTGGGAGAACTTGCACAATTGGTGGCTGTACCCCCACTGTACATCCAATTTGCTGAGTAGAGTGTTGGAGGCTATTTTGTAAATGACATCACCGAAGTCAAGGATCGGTAGGATAGTCAGTTTAACGAGGGCATGTTTGGCAGCATGAGTAAAGGAGGCTTTGTTGCGAAATAGGAAGCCGATTCTAGATTAACTTTGGATTGGAGATGCTTAATGTGAGTCTGGAAGGATAGTTTACAGTCTAACCAGACACCTAGGTATTTGTAGTTGTCCACATACTCTAGGTCAGACCCGCCGAGAGTAGTGATTCTAGTTGGGTGGGCGGGTGCCAGCAGCGTTCGATCCATCTGCTAGCCCCGGCTCGCTAGCACGCGCAATCAACAGCCGTGCCTCCTGCTCGCCTGTGCTGTAGCAGCCTACGAACTGCTCCCGGACTTACCTATTGCTGTTCACTGGACCTTATGATCACTCAGATACACAGCTGATGCCTGCTGGACTGTTCCTTTACACGGTACCCTATCCTGTTTATCTGTTTAGCCTCAGCCCAAACTTTCGTTGCCATTACCAGTTGTTGTCTTAGCCCTCTCGAATAACACCTGTGATTGCGTTATGCCTCTCTCCCATGTCAATATGCCTAGCCTATTGCTGTTTGGGTTAGTTCTTATTGTACTATTTTACTGTAGAGCTCCCAGTCCCGCTCAACCTGCCTCAGATAGCTCCTTTGTCCCACCCCCCATACACACGGAGACCGGCTCAATCGGTACCTCCAGTGATGCTATCTCTTTCATCGTTACCCAATGCTTAGGTGTACCTCCACTGTACTCATATCCTTCCATATCCTTGTCTGTACATAATGCCCTGAATCTATTCTACAACACCCGGAAATCTGACCCTTTTATTCTCTGTACCCAATGCACTAGAAGACCAGTTGTTAAAGCCTTTAGCCGTATCCTTATTCTATTCCTCCTCTGTTCCTCTGGTGATGTAGAGGTTAACCCAGGCCCTGTAGCCCCCAGTATCACTCCTACTCCCCAGGCACTATCATTTGTTGACTTCTGTAACCGTAAAAGCTTTGGTTTCTTGCATGTTAACATCAGAAGCCTTCTCCCCAAGTTTGAGTTATTCACTGCGTTAGCATACTCTGCCAACCCTGATGTTCTAGCAGTGGCTGAATCCTGGCTTAGGAAGGCCACCAAAAATTCAGAAATGTCCATCCCGAACTACAACATTTTCCGTCTAGATAGAACTGTCAAAGGGGGTGGAGTTGCAATCTACTGTAGAGATAGCCTGCAGAGCTCTATCATACTATCCAGGTCTGTGCCCAAACAGTTTGAGCTTCTACTTCTAAAAATCCACCTTTCCAGAAA